CAGCCATAGGTGCCTGTGCATAGCTCATTCTTCGACATGCTGGACACACTGAGCTCCCGAATCTGGACTTTATGGGTCCTAGAGCTGTCCAGAGCTGTGCTTCTTTCCTTCCTATTGCACTCCAACGCACATTTCCTATTCCCTGCCTGGTCACCATATCCCAGCACATCCGATGTGGACAACGGTTCAGCTTCTCTGGTTGAAAACCTTCTTGTGATTGTGTGAGAGGTGAGGAGTTGTCACCAACACACACACAATGGTATATATGTATGCACATGTATGCGATAGGAGCTCTCACCTATGTAAACTCTTCCTTTTAACCAAGAGACTGGAGGAGGATATTCAATAATGTGAGTGATTGTGTGGCAGCGTGAGATAGAAGTCCCACTGATAGACTTCTATACTAATCGTTTCCATGTGAGATGAAAGACAAATTTTATCTACTATAGTAGTAAAATAAAGGATAGATTAGCTTGCTTGGGAACTCTGCTTCTGGACAGGCACTGACTATTGTTGAACTTTCAAAGAAACAGTTCCAACCAGGAGCACGTGAGCCACACAAGGTAACTCATCCTTAAATGTAATTCCTAGGAGCAAAACAGGAGCTAACTGCTGTCCTTTATGCAAATGAAAAATGGCACCTATTTGGACCCAGATTCCCAGCTACAATGAAGACAATGAAAGCAATTCAGCTGCCTGGTTTACCTCATCTGATGCCAGCCCAAATATTCCCAATAATTAGGCCTTTCAGCCTGGAAAGGCTGGAGCCACAGCTGCTTCCGATTTTTCCAAGACTGTACAGAGCATTAGTCATCTCACTGGGGTTTTTTATTACCGTGACTGCAGACGAGTAAACGTGCCGCCAAAACTCAGACAAGCCAAATCAGGCTTAATTCAGAATGTCTTTTGGGAGTTTGAAACGATCTCCTCTCCCCCTTCTGAGTCCTGATCTTCCCTCCCCACCCAAACAGCCTGAATCTGCTTGAAGAAATATCCTACTAAAGCCTCTTTCTCAACATCTACCAGGCTGACCAAAATGAAATTGTGATTGCTGGCATTTCCACCCGAGTTGTTATTTATTAACTAAGCTTGGGAGGGACCTTGATACTTAATGCATCATCTGCTTCTTGGAGCAAAAGCTCTTCCCTGCACCGCGTTGGTTAGTGAGGAGATGGAAATTAGAGTTAGCAAGCAACCACAGACCTATCTGCCCTGATCCAGAAGCTTTGTTATTTACGTCAAGCTGTGGAAGACTTTGATTTTAGCTCTGAAGCCTTCAGGTTCAGTCCTAGCAGTAACATCCTGCCAAGACATTAGCTATTTCTTTGGTTCTAAGGTCTCTGCCCCCACCATCCAGAAGCATTTTGCTCTTTGCAATTTAATTGATAGCATCTTAATCAAGAGCTGTTGATGAAAGAGAGCAGCTCCAAGGCAAAGGTCCCTGATCTGGTCATGCCTCGACTTGCACTTCCAGCGTGAACTTAACTTCTCTTCCAAGGTGCAGGAGGCTGGAAGAAATAGAGTAGCTGGCCATGGAGGTAGAATAGTGTCTTTGCCTCTACTATCTCTCCTGACCATCTTTCCTGGTAAAAAAAACCCCACAACATTCCTGTGTATGAGGAAGCAAATAACCTTCCCCTAACTGCCTTTTGTCCTTTGAAGCAGTGTCGGCCTTTTTTGGTGTATTCCTGCCCCTGAGGCCGCTGACTCATGCTTCATGTTGGTTCATGCTTCACCTAGCACTGGACAAAACCAGTTTGATTGAGGAAGGAACTGACCCGAACATCACTGTTCAAATCCTATAGGGAACCCAAGTCTCCTAAAGTCTTTTTCTTTCTTGTTTAAACAAGTTTCTAACTTTCTGGGCATTGGGACAGATGAGAATTTTGTACTCCATAAATACTGGATTTTGTGTCTGGGCAAGAGTTGATTTATGAGATCATTTGATTAGAAATCCACATTAAATAATTGAAGAAATGAGCTGTCTGATTAAATAAGTGATATTCCTATTATTTCTAACTTGGCCAAAAACTGAAAGAAACAGGAAAGTCCAAAGAACAAACTGACCTTGTCTGTGTTTCACCTATCTCCTCAGTTTAATGACTAAGGAGAAGATGATGGACACCATCGCTAAGAAGAGTGTGGACCAGGCTAACAGGGAGGTTTCTGACAGAGAAATGAGTCCCAGGAGAGGAAGAGGTTGAGAATACCTCTTTCGAATCAGGGATTTGCATGGGAATCTCTAAAGTGTAGCTGACTTTCAGATGTCTTTATCCAACAGGATTGCCTAAGCTCGGAGGAATCTTTGGATCCTCTGGGTTAAATTCTTTTGTGAGAGAGGTTGGAGGATTGGGAGAAGCGTGAAGCCAGCTGTATTTCACAGCTGGCCAGCTGCTGGTTTCCTGTGCTGCTAGGAAGCAGACAGGACACCTGTGCTTTCCAAAGGGACCACTATCAGTTTTACTGAAAAACTACTTAATGCCCTGAATTCTCATTCATACATAGTTACAAGCATCTTTACTAGTTTATTTTAAAGTTGTTCCTGCTTTGATATTAGACGGGAAGGAAAAATAATGCGCTAAATAAATTACAAAGATGGCTGAGGGAAGAAGACGGCACTGAAGTTTTTCTTTGTCAGGAACCTTTCAAATGCCATATTGGAATGAAAGGAAGATCTTGCTTAAGAATCGTATTTCTGGATTCACTTCCTTAAAGAGAGATCCCACAGGAGGTGAACCATTAAGGTTTTCACTCAGAAAAGTGTTTAGTTCCTGCTTAGGCACTGAAATATATATGTATGTATAAATATATTTTAGTCTGTGTGGGCCTCATTTGGCTTTCCAGGAACTGAGATGAAAAATATGTTTTTTCTCCTTGCTATTTTTCTTCTTGCCTGGAAGATATTTAGAGAAATTGAAAAGGGATGCAGGTTGACAAATTCACTCTTGGTAGATACATGAAGCTGTAAGGGGTCAATTTTCCATGGTCCTTCAGACATGTTTGAAAGGACAATGAGCATTTTGGACTCCTTCTACCCAAGGCTGTCCAACTGTGGGTGCCCTCCCAGGTAGTGCAGAGGTGTCAGGGCTGTGATCTACCACCGTTATAGATACCTGCTTCTCTCTACTACCTGTGGAAGGAAACAGGGTCCAGCAGCTCTGGACGGTGGAAGATCAGGATGGCCCAAAGGCCCTGCATGAAACCTCAAGTTTTGTGCTCTTACTTGGTGCACAAACTTTCCAGAAGAAACTTTCCCACGACTTAGTGGTGCCAAGGGCAGCGTATTTCTTCATGCTATCATAACACAAGCAATAAACACGACTTCAGGCACAGGATGGCCTGTATTTGTGCTTTTCTCCCTCAGAAGGAACTTCTTCCATGTTTTTTCTTTTTTTTTTTTTTTGTCTGTTTGTTTGTTTGTTTTCCTCTGTATCTTCTTTTACTTTTCATTTCATTGTGGCTCAGATTTTGTGCCAAGTTCATGCTCAGCAGTAGTACCATTTCTCCAACAGCAGGCACTTTCTTACAGCTGAACAGAAGCATATAGGAGAGGCCATGGCCTACAATCAGCACAGCTTTGTCATCTGGCGGCAGAGAAAAAATGCAGTCAATCAAGTTGTTTTTAACATAGTACAATAGTTGAGTCTGTTATAAACAAATGTAAATCAGAGGAGCGGACTGCTAAAGCAAATGAATGCAAAACACAGAAAAGAGTGAGCCATGTTTTCTCTCAAAGCTGGGCCCTGATTTGTGGGCAGGATTGACTCATACTGCAACAGCTGATATGGTTGTCACCCCTACACCAACGTCTGTGCCATGGACAGTGCAGGAGAGCTGAGCTGCTCAGGAGGCAACTGTTGGGCCCCACGGGCCAGCCAGCTCTGCCAGCGTATAACCCCGTGTTTTTATATAAGCTGCTTGTGTTTATGATTTGCTTCAGAAGGTTGCAATGTAAACAGCTATCTCTGAGAGTTACTTCTCAGGCAAAACCTGTTATCCAAGCAGTAGGAATGGGGAGCCTACTTCTCGATGGGGAGTCCCTTCCTCTTTTCATAGCTGGCAGATATTATAAAGGATGAGTAGAGACCTTTCCCCTTCAAGAGTGGCAGCTGGAGATACCCAGAGCATCTCAAATGTCCCTAGAGACCTCTCTACAGGCATCTGGCATCTTCCTCTTCCTCATCAGGCAGTAGAACCTAGGGAACTGCTCTGCTGTATGTAAAAAAGATCTCTGGATCATCAGCTGAATCATGCCCTATGCTCTGCTGACTGTTTAGGTCTCCATTGGTTTTAATGGTGTTTAAAACCTGGTTCTCCCTACCCTGAGACACCTACATGTAGCTGTCAGTTTAGAGCTGAATCTCACCCTGAAATGGAAGAGTTCCATTCACTCAGGCCCCTGGCTTCCCCTCCAGTGGCTGCTTTAGGAATGCATGAGTCTTCTCTAGGTCTTTCATGGCCATGTCACCTCTTGTGCAATTGTGGGAACAAAGCAGTACTGATGCCAGGCTGAGCATCTTGCTGGATTCTCTCCACCTGTTTAAACTCTTGTAAAATAATCTTGTACAAGAACAATGGTATCCAACCATGTTTTGCTGGACTGTGATCCAACACTTTGCTTGTTCTACCACCATAAGCATGAATATGCTGGAAGAGTGAGTTCATCCCACCTAACACTTGATGACTACAGTTGAGCTGAACTGCCCTCTTTTTGCAGTTGGTGGAGAGATGAAGATCTCCAGTACCCAAGTCTCCATCAACTGTAAGAGGAATCTAGATGATGAGCTCATGTGTAGATATCTGCACTTGGTTGGATGAATCCCACCTTGGTGAGCCCAGTCCTTTGCAGCGGTAATCAGGAATCATAAGTGTCTATATCAAACAGGTTTGGCAAGTACATCCAAAGCAAACAAGCTTCAGTCTCAGCTTATTTAGTGTTGCATCCAATTATGTAGTTATTTATAGATATTCTGTTTTTCTGTTCTTATCTTCCCTTCCAGCTCTGAGGACAGGATGACAGACGGTGACTCAAATCTTCCAATTATCGAGAGAAAGCTGGGACTCCAGATATGGAACATAGAGGTATGACAAGAGGAGAAGGTTGTGATACATAGTGTGCATGTGTTTCAAGAAAGAGATATTCTTGAAGTTGTCTGGGTAGCAAAATATGGTCCTACAGGACAGGAAGCAGGAGACCCAATTTCTAGTTTTGTCTTCCTCCCTTTGAACTTTCAACATGTTATTGCTTGGTGGTTTGGTTTCCTTCCCTTATATAACTTGGATAACAGAGACTAAGAAACACTAATTTTGTTGGGACTGAATATATTCTGGCCGTGCATCCTCTAGCACCAGAGGCTCTCTTGCTTCTTTGGGAATTGTTGCATAGCTGCTTTAGCAATTTTGAAGTTGGTGTTACTGCTGACCTGAAAAATCTCTCTCGTCTCCCCCTAATTTCCCTTGCACCAATGTTGCCCTTAGTCTTCATTCACTCTGGTCTAAGGAGTCCCAGCCAGTATGGGTGTGCATGGTTTCCCTGTGCAGCTTATTCCACAAACACTAATGAGTGACCTTATCTGGGCATCTCCTCCTTTCCACACAGTCCTTCCTGTCTGAACTCTTCCATTTCCTAGCTGTTATACACAGAAGTGGAAATGGGAAGTTGTGAGTTTCATTAGGATGACATGTTGCAGTGCTAACATAGAGATGTTTGAGCTGCCAATATGGCATTTTGGTGTGTGGCTGCCAAACTAAACCATGATTCATCCTCCTCTAAATAAATAGCTTTCAAAAACCTATCAACAACTATGACAAGGCAAAGTAGTATTTGTATCCTCAAACCCTATCTGGGTTTGGGCTACAGGAGATGTAACCCTAATAGCAAGTAAATGTAATTATCAGTTCCTTTTCCAAAATGACACGTAAGTTGTCTACTCTGGGATACTCCCTGATATTGGCTGGGAGCCTGTGAGCATGTAACTGCCATTTGAGATCCCTGATCCTTTCTTCTCTGAACCTTCATTGTCACCCTAGTGTTTCATGCATCCCAGCTTCCCTGTTTCATACTCATCAACTTCTGGCTCTTGGAGTTCTAGCTACAATCTAAACACTTTTTTTTTTTTTTTTTTATTTAAACAGAATATGAAGATGGTTCCTGTTCCTGAAAAGGCTTATGGGGCATTTTTTGAAGGAGACTGTTATGTAATTCTGCATGTAAGTAGGAGAAATATCAGTAGGCAAACAGATTCTCTAGCTCCAGCCTGATCCCCAGATGCTCTTGCTTGTGAGAGAAGCATTACTGGATAAAAAAGGCTGTTTCTCTGTGTTCACTATCATGTGATGATACACCTGAATTTAACATTGCCTGTTGCAGCAATATTGCATGTTTGTGTAACCAGAAGGACAGAAAAGTCATTAAATCAGCAATTTGCTTAAATGCTTTTTCTTCGGATCAGCTGAATCATGCACAGAGATGGCAAAACGGCCAGTATATTCCTGGGAAACTAAAACAAGGCCAAATTTGTGTGACTCAGAGGAGTAGTTTGGAAGTGTGAGAGATAGCCAGCTGGAGGGCTTTGTTTTCAGTGGATGATATGGGTTATGGAAGTGTGCCACTTAGTGACATATGAGCAGCAGAGAGGGTCTACAGCCCTTCTCTCTCTCCCTGTTAGGACCTCATCCATCCTGCCCAAATTTGCTCCAGATCTATTTATAACAAGCTGAACCAGCTTAGCGAGAAGCATGAGGAACTTTTGAGAACAACCCTACAGTCTGGGCTGCACAAAGTGCCTTGCTTTCCTAAGGCTGTCTGGGAGGATGATGTATCTCAGCGAACTGCTGAACCTCCTTCCAAATCACTTCATATCACAGAGCAATCCAGGTCCCATTAGTCCACCCTATAGAAACCAGAAGCATTTCCCACTTCCTGTGTCAGAGCATCCCCTCTGCAAATATTCCCATGAGTCAAGCAACAGCAAAGTCTCTGCTGTCCCACAATAACCAAAAACACATAAATATACACCTGTAATGCAACCAAGGCAGAGCCTAATTCATGCAATGATTGAATCATATGAAACAATTTGGGTTTCCTGTACCTCACCAATATCTAACCATTGAATAGATCATCAGGTAAGATATTCAGTGAGGACATGTGTGAGCCACTTTTATATTCTTCGTGTGTTTTAAGACAAGAAACTTGAATGTAGGTCTCCTTTGGTCCACAAGTTCATCACTGAAGTATTTGTGTAGGTTGCCTACTTTTAACCCTCAAAAATGTTTGCAGGATAGAGAAAAGGTTGTCTGCATACCCCTAGTGGATTCAGCTTTAAACAGAGTTTTGCACCATTTTAAGGGCCTTGAAATATCCAAGATGTCAATGCATGTCCTGCAGGTATGACACACAAGACCTACATCTCTTCTAGGGTAGTACCTGTAGACTGACTTAGGTGATACAAAACACCCCATATCTCCCCAGGGTCCCAGCTAAGACACTTGAGTCGAGTCTCCTGTTTGTGGATGTAGCATAGACCACAGTTCTTGGAAGATTTCTTGAAAAATCACTTTTTCTTAATTTTAAGAGCTTGATTCAAATTCCTGTACTTTCTAGAGGGTGCTCCACTTGGCTTCTAGGCACAGATGAAAACACAGAGAACCTGTCCATCTTGTGTCTTCGATCTCCATTTACTCTAGTGGAAGCTTTGACCTTTCTCACATATAGGACCCTAAATTTAGGGACAGAACTGAGATGCTTAAAGATATGCTGTGAGTATCTCACCCATCCTGCAGCTATTGCTTTAGAGTAGCACACATGCTATTCATAAGCCACATCTGCTTAGTGCAGAGGTCTTGGATATCTTTTAAAATCTCAAAAAGCTCATAAATGCCATTTTTTTTAGGCAAATGAATCCTCCAGTATCCAAGATATGCTTAGAGCAGAGTAGGAGTGTCCTTGTGAGGCACTGAACACAATCACTAGAGATTTTGATACTCACAGACTCAGCTTACATTGTAAAAGCTTCCACATGTAGAAAAAGCCTTAATCACGCCCGCTTTCTCCCTCAATCTCACATAAAATAGAGTAAAAAAGTGCTCATCTTTCTGCTTCTTGACTGGAGGCTCTCCAAGGGAAAGTTGTCTGCAGGACAATGGGACTTTGATCATATTCAGTGACAGTCAATTAAACAGAGCGATTTTGCCACAAATTAATCATTGGTGCTGAAGGAGACTGGATTGTATTTTGTTCAAGTTCGAGTGTTTTTTACTGTGGTACCACTACACAAAGCAAATAAACAGATCTTAATGTCAAATCCAGTTTATAAAATGAGCCATTATTATCTTTCACAGACATGGATGATAGGGTTTAACAGAAAGTGCTGAAAGATATCTGTCACAACTCACACAACAATAAGCACACCGGTTCTCATACCCCCTTGCCTCTTCTTTCTAGGCTACTGGATCTTTCTGTAATAAGATGAATCACAGCATGCACACATAGGTTCAGCTTCACTTGGAGTTATGTCTGTTTTGCAAGTCAGTAGGAATTCAGGGACAGTCTGTGTTACTTGATAGTGTGATGGAAAAGGAAAGAGAGTACCTCCAGACGAATAAATACAGGTGCATATTGCATTCAAAGAAGTGATCTATGAAAAGAATGTCCCTCAAGTTGGGATGTCAAACTCTACAAAAGTAGGACAGGTTGAACGCATGGATTTTTGGAATTGCGCAGGTGTTCTGTTTCCATGATAACAAGGATCAGAAAAGTACTTAAATCTGCTTTGGTTCGATATGTAGTTAGGCCTTACAGGTGCTCTGCTGAGTCAGGGTCTTGGGGCCTGAGCTGACTCTGCCCTGCTTTGCCTGAGAGTCACTGCACTGTCCAGGCTTTGGTTGTAGGCCTCAGCCCTGCCTCATCTTCCTCAAGGAAAACGCAAGAGTGGAAAATCCCCTGGAAAAGGGCTCTGTGATTGCCTGTTCATGCCAGGTCTTCCTGGCCAGTGCTGTTGTTTGCCAAACTTATATGGGCTTCATCTTCCCAGTGAGGGAAAATGCCTCCTGAATCTCCTCTTTCCCACCTCTTCCAGAACAAAAGAACCTCTCATGGCATCGCTACAGACTTGCATTACTGGATTGGCAAGGATTCAACCCAGGATGAGCAAGGTGCTGCAGCCCTATACGTCATCCAGATGGATGATGTGCTTGGGGGGAACCCCGTGCAGCACCGGGAAGTGCAGGGACATGAATCTGAGACCTTCCAAAGCTATTTCCGGAATGGCATTATGTGAGTACTGTAAAATACCCTATGATGACGCAAGTTGTAGTCCCTGGTGTTTCCTCAGCTTCTGTCTATCCCAAAAACATCAGCATTTCAAAAATTTGAAAAACACGGGCCAGTTTTGTAGTTGGTCAAAATGCAAAAGAAAATTATCTTATAAAAAGAAAACTTAAAAAAAACAGGCATCTTCTCTATCTTAGCAAGTAGGCTAACCACCAGAGTACCCTTCTGTGGGTAAGTACTACTGGATCAGACATGTCTGAAATACTGTTACCTAACCACTGATGAGCCTATCCCTTCTTTCCAATCATTTCCAGGCTATGATGAAATATATCATGCCCTTATGGATAAAAGGATAAAACTCCTAGCAGTTCTCTCTCCTTCTCACACATTGCACCTTTATCGATTCACTTAATGAGAGGCTTGACACATGAACATTCGATTGATTTTCTAAATTGCACTAGGAAATGCAGAAGGGGGATAGAATTGTCCAAAACCCAGTGAAAGGGCTCGAGAGCTTTCTTGGAGGGACCACCTCTTCTCACAATGTAATTGCACCTTCCTTGCAAAGTAGCATGGAAAGGAAGAGAGAGTATCGTGCAGTAACTGGGTTAACAACAGGCATTGCAAAGTGCATGTTCAAGAATGAAAGCAAAACTGGTGGATTAAATCTAAGAAGATAGTGCCTGCATCCCTTTACACTGGCATTTTGTACTATCTATATCAATAGCTTTCTGTTTTACAACTTTTGAATACAAAACCAAATTTTAGCAATATGATCCATACTTAATGCAAAACAAGCTTCTTAATTGAATGTCTGAGGGATATTTCCATTCTGAGATATCACTGCCTTTCTTGATGAGATTTTCAATTTGGTTGTGTCATATTTCCCCTGCCCTCTCTGACTTGTCTGTTCAGCTACATATTTTCTCCCAAGAACACAACACCCATAACAGGTGGAATTAAACCATGAGGAGCCATGTTATTAGTGGAAACCATGAATGATAGAATCAAATAACAAAGAAACACTTGGCATTCTATTTTGGCGAGTCTAAGAGGATATTATCCCTAAATTTTTATTGTCACCATTTTTTTTTTCAGAGGATAGAGGGGTAACTATTTTCTAACTGGTATGAACTCTTTGGGCAAATATTTTCTAATCAGCATGAACTTTTTTTATTCTGTTCCACACCAGCTACAAGAAGGGAGGAGTAGCTTCAGGATTCAGGCATGTGGAGACCAATATGTACAACATCAAGCGTCTTCTTCACGTCAAGGGGAAGAAGCACATATCAGCCACAGAGGTAAGCACAGAAGCCCTCTCTACTTATGCATCATTTGTCCTTGCATCCATTTTCCAGCAGGTTTCCTACTTAGATACCTCATCTCTGCTAAGCACACAGGACAGAGTTCAAGAACTTGATGTGGGGATAGGTATTATCCTAAAAGAAGCCCTATGGTTCGGTGAATGGATGTGTACCACCCCTGGACACTTTCTTTCACAAGGTAGTTGTTCTCACAAAATAATTTGGAAAACTGGAACTCTTGGAAAGCAAGTAAAGACAGACTTTTAGACCACAAACATCTCTCTCTCCTGCATTAATAATCATCTACATCTCTCCCTGCATTAATAATCAAGAATCACAGAAAGGTTGAGGTTGGAAGGGACCTCAAGAGATCATCTAGTCAAATCCCCCTGCTCCATTAGGAACACCCAGAGCACAGGGCACAGAGTGGCATCCAGGCGGGTTTGGAAGATCTCCAAAAAAGGAGACTCTACAACCTCTCTAGGCAGCCTATTCCAATACTAAATTAATAACAGCAGAGTTATTCACATTCACTCAAAAAGAAAATAGATATTGCAGTCCCAGTATCATTACTGAATCTAACTAGAAAAACAAAGCACACCACTGCAGACTGGGGCAAGTTCCCTATGACTGTGACCTTGTGGCTCTGATTGTATCACCAAACTAAGCTGTTTCATTTTCTCATGACAGGTAGAACTTTCCTGGAACAGTTTTAATAAGGGCGATGTTTTCTTGTTGGACCTTGGGAAAGTGTTGATTCAGTGGAATGGACCCAACTGCAACATTGCTGAGAAATCCAGGGTGAGTACAGGTACCTGGCATATTAGAGGTATTTTCTGATGCCTGGAATGAGACCAAACACACACACACACGCACGCACACATGCACACAAATTGACAAATGCTTGCAAAGTGAAGTGAAAAATGTTTGCTCACAGTAGAACTTAGAGATACACAGGTCAGAGAAAAAAGATATCTAATGAGTGATCAGTTCAGCTACAGTTATCAGAGAAAATGCTGGTAGGATTCTACTTTCCTGTCTGCTGAAATCAGAGGCCAGGGATGTTCTCTGCTCAAACCTCCAATCAGGTGTCAGGAGTGTCCTTGGACACATCACTAACTCTAGCTTCAGAAATTCATCTAATTCCCTCTGAAGACGCATGCCTCCAGCGCTCTGCGTCCTGAAATGTGGATAAAGTAGGACTAAAAGTCAGTAGCAACTGTTGATCTAACTGCAATGACTTCCACAGGGGTAACAAAGAAGTTACCAGGACACAAAGGAAGGGAAGCAGGAAGACAGAAGGTTGCTTTGAAGAACAGGCCATGGTTCACTTCAATTCTGGCAATCAAACAAATCACTTCCTAGGCCTAGCAAAGGGAGCCCCTTCCAAAGCTATTGTCATGAGATGATGGAAAAAAAAATACACGTTATCCATTTATTCATGCAAAACTGAGATTCCAGCCTAGTTATTTGGCTTTTAACAAAGCCAAAAATGTTTTTTGTCCGAGAAAACCTTTGTGTTTTTGAATGCTTCAAATATTTACATTTAAAATGTCATCCCTGTATATCCAGGATCCTGCAGTTCTGCTGCCTCTGGCTTCTATTCTGCTCAGCATGTGAGCATCTCACTTCCAGACCATGTTTTTGGATTTGCTTATGTAAAGATGCACATGTGCAGTGTTTGTGAGCACTCCACACTTGTGCCCTACTTGAGCAAATAGCAGGAATGTTTTCCTAGGAGTTAAGTCCATTAGCAGGCATAGTGGGTACATCCACATTTGTTAACAGCTAACTTTGCAAGACAATAGCAGCTTTACAAAACTGTAGTAATCTATCTTAGACTACTAGTTCTCCATCATTACTAGAGGTCTGAGGAAATGCTTGCTGAATTAACTGTGTGGATCTGGATTTATCCCCGTGTGATCTTTGTGCAGGGCCTAGCATTGGCTCGTAGCATCAGGGACAGTGAAAGAGGCGGCCGTGCTCAAATCGGCATTATTGACAACGAGAAGGACTCTCCAGACCTCATGCAGATCATGAAGATGGTGCTGGGTGAGAGGCGTGGGGAACTCCGAGATGCCATCCCTGACACGAAGGCGGATGAGCTGCAGAAGGCAAATGTCCGACTCTACCAGTAAGTCTCAAGCAGAGCCCCCAAACCCCAACCTTTCTTATAGAGGTCTCTGCACAGCCTGATTGCTTCATGGCTCTTTCTTTCAGTGTCTATGAGAAGGACAATGACCTTGTGGTACAGGAGATAGCTACTCGACCCCTGACACAAGACCTGCTCCAGCACGAGGTGAGAGAAAGACTTCAGTCCTTATAGAGGGAAACGCTGCTGTGGCCTCTTCTGTTTTCAGCTGAATACCTATTTCTGTGAGATATCCTATCTGCAAAAAATTATCAGCCCTTCTATCCTTTAAAAGTGCTGGGTGTCCTCTAGGGCACCTCAGCATCCCCCTACAGTCATGGTGCCTGGAGGCCATGAATTAATTGAAGATGCTTTAGCAAAAGGTGACAAACCTGCCCTCTCAGCTAAGAAATATATTAGGTTGTCAATCATTAGAAAAGGAGAGTCAAGGCGAGGTGGGTAGAAATGGACCAGGATTAAATTCCAAGTGGAAAACAGACTTTTTGACCATCCTGTAAGGATATTCCTTATAGGCCCCCTGTCTGAAAGAACTGAGAATAGAAAGGTCTTCCTAGCATCCTTCTGGCTAAAATTCCTCAGAGAATTGCTCCTCCTTGATTCTTTGCTGCACATAAGGAGCAGCTCTTGTGCAGCTGTAATGGCAAGCTGGGAAAAGTGGCTAAGAAAAATACATACTTTATTTCTTGAGAGCTAAAGAGCAGCTGCTACTGGGATCAGAGGTGTTCACAGGTCAATGTACTCAGGAAATCAGGCACTGAGGCAATCATAGCCCATTAATGCACCACGGAAAATCTATCTTCTGTTGCATCTGCTAATGGTTACATCAGGGTTAGCAGTCTGCAAGGCAATGAAAAAAAGTTAGATCTAGATCTCCAGCTGGGGTCAACCTAGATATAAGGCACGCAAGTGAGTGCCTTCCCCTGAAAGAGAAAGTTTATTTACATCTGTTCTTTTTTGTTTGTTTTTTTTTTCTTTTTTCTACTTGACATCAGGACTGCCACATTTTAGATCAAGGTGGTTTTAAAATCTATGTTTGGAGAGGAAAATTATCCAGCCAGGAGGAGAAGAAAACAGCCTTCAGCCGAGCTTTGGTGAGCTGTGATATACTGCAAAAAAATGTTGTGGAAGGGTAACTAAGTGCTAATCTGACCATTCATTATGAATAAGTGTGGGTCTTAGGAACTGGCCTGTGTGATAGCAGGACTTTAACTTTGAAGGGTGGTGGGATGTAGTAAACGCAAAATTGTTCTTCACCAAATTGCAGTAGAAATTGGACCTGTCACTGAAACTAGGAGAAGGAGGTTAAAGACAAGAAAACAAAATACAAAAGAAAATACTTTATTACACGAGACAATTAACTTACAGAATTTGTGACTTCAAGGAATGGTGGATGCTGATGATATTAGCATATGCAGAATGGGATTGGAAAAAGTTATAGTCAGGTATAGTTAGGCAGGTCTGTAAACAGATATTAAAGGGGATAGCATCTTCTGTTCTCTCTAAAAGCCAAGACCCAATATTGTGGCTACTGAGGAGAGTGAAGGGATCAGACAGTCAGCGGGCTTTCTAAAGAGTCTCCTACAGTCACTGCCCAAAGCAGCATGGACCACTTCTTTGACCTGGAAAATCATTTTTTTGGTTCCTAATGAACATTGTGATAGTTCAGGGAAGTCAAAGGGGAATCTAATTGTTCTCTGAAAAAAAAAAAAAAAAAAAAAAAACAGGTCTTATATGTAGATGCTAGAGGTCCATCATGATCAATACGATGAACAAGATAATGTAGATGGGTTTGAGTTCAAGTTGTGTGTGTGAATTTGAAGCTGATATGGGTATCTTCCACTGGGTAGAATGAAGTTTTTCATGAATTCAGACTGGCTTCCATGAGATAAAACCATTACATTACAGGTAGAGTGCAGACAAAAGTAGTCTTTAAAGAACCTAAATGAGTAAGACTTTGGCAGGACTTTTTACAACTTGGCACATTGAAATGAAGAGTGGCATTTAACTCAATTGACTAGAACCTTATTGACTATCTAATGACTTATTTGAAGACCACAAATGACCTCACCTTCAATGAGATTGTTGTCGTGGGAAAGAAAAACTTAGACAAACCTTGACTTAAAATTATCTCTTCATCCCTTCATCCTTTCAAAAGGAGATGTTTTTTAGTAGGCAATCAGCTTTGCAAATTCTGGCCTTGAGCTACAAATGTAGAACAAAAGATATCTCTTTCAGCATGGCAGGTGGGAGGGATGAGAAGACCATCTGCTCTGCTTTTCCCTTGAGGTAGTGTGTGGCTGTGGTATTTACAGCACAAAATGAATGCTCAGAAACCCACACTCCTTTCCTGAACCACGGCTGTCAAAACTGTTCTTCTGGGTCATCCTGGAGCCTGCTGAGATAAACACAGAAGCAGTTACTGAAAACTGAGCAATGACTTCGACGCTCTGGCAGAAGACATGATAATTTTCTTCCTCTCAGATGTATCAAGCACCTATTTTGAAATATTTTCTTAACTCCATAGCTGTCATATTTGTAAGTGTTCATCTCTTCAGAAAATGTCACACATTGTACTTAACTGCCTCCATCCCTTTACTGTCTTGACAAGTCATGTGATTTAACATGCAAAAGGGAGGACACACTTTTTTAAAGCAAGATGAAAAGATTTCAGTGAAGTAGAGAACGCTGAAGAAGAGTGAAGAAGAGAGCTGTGCTCTCAGGTCATGGGCACATGCCATCACCACTCCTTTCTCCCAACTCCTCACTAGAACCTATCTACAGATCTACAGAACCTATCTACAGAACCTGTCTACAGATCCATTGGATGATGTTCACTTCAAGATGAAGATGCCGTTTAGAGACTAGTTTTAGAATGTGATCTAGGGCAGCAACATTGGGACACAGTTCAATTGTCTAAATACAAGAATAAAGACAGAGACTATAAATGGAAGCATGCAGACATCTCCATTTATACGTCTAAATGCAAGTGCCTTGTTCTTGAACTGAATGCTGACATTGGTCATGCTGCTGTGCTCAGCTGCAGGAAGATGTTTTCTCTTTGGATTCGCTCAGTTCCATGTCCTTCTTCTCAAGTCTGTAAAAACGTTGATGTGTTCCAACTAAAGTCCATTTGTTCTTCCACTAGGGTTTCATCCAAGCCAAAGGCTATCCTCCTTCCACCAACATTGAAGTGATAAACGATGGAGCAGAGTCAGCCATGTTTAAACAGCTCTTCCAGAAGTGGACGGAAAAGGAAGAAACACAAGGGCTGGGAAAAGCCTACAGTACTGGAAAAATTGGTGAGTAGATTCTGACAGCCACTACTTGTCCCAGATTTGGCTTCGCTACTTGGTCACCTGTGCTAAATGATACCTGAGGGAATATCATTCACATTAATTGTCTCCTATCCTCAGCATCTTGAAAATGTCCTTTTCATGCCTTATATTTTCTACCTTATTCAGTAGATATAAATCTATTAGTAACTGAACAATGTTCACAACTGCCAAAGCTTGTCATGTCAACCAAAATCCTGTTTATTCCAAATGTAAATGTTGATCAATCTCTCCTGAAAAAAAAAAAAAAACACAAAAAAAAATCATACTTAAAACTTTTTACAAAATTTTCTTTAGAAGGGGCAAATAGCAAATCTAATAAGGAAGTGTTGAACAACATTCTGCTCTCATTTACGCTGCCATTCATCCAGGACCCACCTGACATCAACAGAATTATTCTATACTTACACCAGCGTAAACAACAGCTCAATATATCATGCTCATAAAGTGAAAAGTGCAATATATTAACCCCAGAGGGAAAATAATACTGAAGAGAAGGAATGAGAAGACAGTGACAGACTTTCTGAAAATCTCCATCAATGATAACTTCACAGACACAAATCTCTCTCCTCCTTGCAAGTATTCTCTCTTCTTTCCATCTCTTTCTCTGTCTCGTCCCTGCATACTGTCTCTCTCTATATCAGGGACTGGAGAAACATGTCCTTTTTATTTTTGAAAACAACATTTGAAAAGGAGGGAAATAAGTACAAATTTGGAAAATAATCATAAATTTTCAGTCAAGAGGCAACTAATATTTTTACCAGCCAGTCATCACAACTTTACTAGAATATGCTTTATGGTCAGTTGCTAGCCCATAACATAGATCAGCATCAGTGTGTGCATTCTTGTGTATTTTAAAAGCATTTGCTTACTAGTGGGAAGACTGGCTTCATGAAACTGTTAACCATGTTTCTCTTATGTGTACAATAATTGTGTGTGTGTGTGTGTGTGTGTGTTTGTGGTGCTCAGGGTTTGCATGGTTTATACACTTTGCATGCATTGAATAACTTGTGTTTGTGCTTTGATTGTGGCGCTAAATCCAGCCAAGGTGGAGCAAGTGAAGTTTGACATCACTCAGCTTCATGCCAGACCAGAGCTAGCTGCTGAGCAGAGAATGGTGGATGACGCCTCCGGGGAGGTACAGGTGAGAGAGATCCTTTCTCTGGCAAGTGATGCAATTCTCAGAGTGTTTCCAAACCCCTCTGCCATACAGCAGCTGTGCAGAGCAGTGAAAACACGCTCAGCTTTCCTGAAGAGACATAAATTTGCCCCAGCCTAATTAAGTTGGGGCAACACAGGCTGACATACTAAGGAAGAAAGGAAGACTCGTCTTCCTAGCTGCAGATCTGGGTCTGCTTGCAAAGGGACTGTGTTTTATCTTCATATTAGCTCCACTGCCACTCACCAAGATGTTTCTCTTACTAGGTATGGAGGATTGAGGACTTGCACATGAAGCCAGTGGATCCCAAGAAATATGGACAGTTCTATGGGGGCGATTGCTACTTGGTGCTGTACACATACATGAGATCAGGCAGGCCTCACTATGTCCTCTACATGTGGCAGGTAGGTCAAACCAAAGAAGAGGAGACTGTGCTGTGTCTGCTGGAAGACTAAAACTAGTGTTTTTTAGAAGCTTAAAATTGACAGAAGCAATTTTATCCCAAAATCTAACTGAAACATGCCAAAGAATTCAAAAGTCCTTTGCATATCAGCTATGATCTTGCATATGCTCCAAGCTCTGTCTCATAAGCAACATGGACACTTTGAGCCCAAACTACCATCGAACTCAGAGACGGGAACATAAAACAGAAAGCATGAAGAATTATGGGGCTTACCTTCTCTTCTAGTTTGCAGAGAAAAGTTTTGAAAATGAGGTTTAAAGGGTCAAAGACTAGAATGCAAATTTAAATAATGTAGTTTGACTTCTGATCGTATGATATCATAAGCAGGCATCTCGGTTGTGATTCTAGGAAGCTTGGGACTGTCAGAAAGTTACACTGTGCAGAGGTTTATACCCGCCACCTCATCATGATACGGATGGTATCACTTTCTCCCCTAGGGCCGCCATGCCTCTGTGGACGAAATCACAGCCTGCGCCCTCAATGCCGTGGAGCTGGACAAGAAGTATGGGGATGAGGCTGTGCAGGTGCGTGTGACGATGGGCAAGGAGCCAACGCACTTCCTGGCAATCTTCAAGGGCAAACTCATCATTTATGAGGTAACGTGCATGCATGGGCAAGGTGCAAACCTTGAGCATGGAGTGGTAGTACAGTGGAAGTAGTTAAGAGTAACTGGCTGATATTAAGGAGATGTGTCTGCTAGGACTGTATGGGTTGGTTAGGGAAAGAATGGAAGACTTTGAGCTCTCTCTCTATGGTACTTATCTAGCCACAACAGCTGCACTGTTTTCAAAATCCCCTTTCTCACTAAGTGAAGCAATTCTGTTCACTTACTCATAATAATGGGTAAATACGACGCACAAAGTTAAGGGCTTCTCAGCCACCAGAAGTCTCTGGTGGAGAGGGAACGTTTCAGGACCTGTAATAATTTCCCAAGTAGGCTGAATACGGTAAGTACTTAAGGGAGAATAGTCGTGGTTTGAGCTGGACTCGCCTATCTGCACAAGTCCAGGATTTACATGTGATGTTCTTTCAAATTCTATCCCAAAATATTTCGCAGAGGTGCAATAGAAGAATTGTAATAGAAAGAATGCTAGAATTGCTATAAGTTTCAGATACCATGATCCTTCGGGTTCTGGCCTCCAGAAAGAGTCCCTCAAAATACCCTGCAAAATGTTACATTATTTGAATTATCTCTGCAATTGAATTTCATCTTGTTAACTTTTAATCCACTTCACTTGCTGCTTTGGTTGCGACCATCTGTTGTAGAAGCTTTTTAAATGTCTGGAAAAGAGCAGGATTGCTCTTAACACCCGGTGGTGGTCCAACCATATGACTGCACAGGAGTCATTCAGCCAAGCTCACCACAGTTGAAAATGAGTCCGTGTCATGTAAATGTTTTATCTTTTTTACATGTCAAAGGCATAACCGATCCTAAGGTCTGTTAACATTGAACTTGAGTGCCTTAACAGGAGTTTGTTGAGACTTAGATAACTAGAGAGGAAATTTAGAAGTTATGACATGTTGAATTTATTCCGAACGTTTTTTGTATTTACTGATTTGGTCCATTTGGGATTTATGCAGGCCTGGGGTCTCTCATTGAAGCCGTGTGAGGAGCTGTGCACTCAGTCATTCTCCCCTAGCCCGACCCATTGAATTTTCATGTGATCCTCACCTCCTAGCGCCATCTTTCCCTGTGTTTCCTTGCAGGGAGGCACAAGCCGAGGCCAGACAAGCATGCCCGAACCTACGATTCGCCTCTTCCAGGTGAGGGGCACGGATGAGATGAACACCAAGGCCACAGAGGTGCCAGCCCGGGCCTCCTCTCTCAACTCCAATGATGTCTTCCTGCTGGCAACCAGCCAGGTCTGCTACCTGTGGTGTGGGAAGGTAAGACTGCAATGTGCTAAGGGGGACAACTTGAATCTTCCATCTTTCACAGAGCCAGGGAGGTATATCCTTGAGCAAGCAGTGGGTGTAGCCAGGAGAAGGTCCTTTCTAATATGATCAGCAGGAACACGGTTTCTCTTCACAGAAGCTCCTGCTTCCCAGAACTGTGGCATTCGCTTCACCTCTGCAGGCTCCAAGCCTGTCCAGCCACTTGTGGGAAAATAGCCTGGATTAGGACAAGTTCATCTGACTTATTTCAGGCATCTACCTTAGGATGAGGTGACTTGGGCCCTAGAGGCCATTGGCAGTACAGAATTCCAGGGATTAAGTTTGGAGTTTTAGTGACCAGCTCAGATGGAGTCAGTAAATCTCAGTCCACCTGCCTACATAACCCACTACAGGTTACGATCCTCAAAATCATTAAGCAATTCTAAAACTTTTGAGAAGAATGCGGAGTCACGCTAGTTCTGTCCTACAAATAACTTTTCCAGTCTTCCCCTAACTCTTCCTATTCATCTATCCTAACATTCATCTATCCTGAATGTAGGGTTGCAGCGGAGATGAAAGAGAGATGGCAAAGATGGTTGCTGACGTTGTCTCAAGACGGGACAAGTTGACTATTTCAGAGGGACAAGAGCCAGCAGAGTTCTGGGAGGCTTTGGGAGGCAAAGCCCCCTATGCCAGTGAGAAGAGGTAACAGTGATCTGATTGTTCCTCTGGGTATTGTCATGCAATATTAAGCAAAAGATCAAACTTCTGGAAGATCGTGAGGAAGAATTTTGATACCATATCCTCATCACAGAGTACACTAGGCCAGAATATCCCCCATATAATGGCCTGCCACAATCCATACTGGAAACCCCACTGAGATGTTTCTTTTCTAAATTTTAGATGGTCCATATCCAAATCCAGCAGGCAAAAGTCCCTAAACCATTCTTTCCCTGCAGGAAATCCATCTGGATTTCCTGACTTAGGACATGACTGTCCTAGTGTTACATAAATGACATATTAATTTCCACCCATTACTAGACTTATGGCCAGTCCCAAGAGATGTTAAACTTGATGGTGAGCAACCTGGATTTCTCCAGGCCTCTGGACAGGTGGTAAGTTCCTTTGCAACCCAGTGGGCTGATGTGGCTTTCACCTGACAGTAGGCTCCTCTCCATGAATAGGGAAGGATTCTGCTTTTACCTTCTTTGGGTAGAGAAAGAGTTACCTTAAAAACCGTTTAAGACTGTGCAAGAATTCCTTGAGAACTGACTTTACCAACTTTCAGGCCCAATCATATTACCAGCTCATTCATCATGATCATAACTAGTAGTTTCTGGGCCAGCGGTAAACCACAATGGAAAAGGTTTCCATCTCTCCTTTTTTTTTTTAATTTATTTTAATTTTCATTTTTTTTTATTTCCCTGCCATGTGTGTGAAAGGTTTCAGGAGCGGAACACCCACTACCAGCCTCGCCTCTTCGAGTGCTCCAACCAGACAGGGCGGTTCATCATGACAGAAGTGGTGGGTTTCTGCCAGGAAGACCTGGATGAAGATGACGTCATGCTGCTAGATACCTGGGGAGAGGTCAGCATGAACCCCCCTCCCCTTCCCTCTAGACCTGGCTTAGTAGCTTTTATAATCCAGTATTCAACCCTAACCCTAATCTGTCTCATCTCCAAACCCTCTCTGATGGTTTGATAAGTGGACGTATGTCTCACCTTCTCCATCCAGTCACCAAGCACTTCAGTGAGGTATTATTGTTGGTCCTGTTTCAGAAGTGGGGAAAACTGAGGCACAGGGAACAAAGGCGTGAGCTCTCCTGCCAACAGGGTGGCACCCAGCAACCTTCCCCCTCATTTCCCAGCACCAGTGATGAGAAATTGCTTTAGCTTCTCAGAAACAGACTCCAAGCAGTTTGCTTGGAGAATATCTGAGTTTTTGATCACTTAGGGGCTAGGTTTAACTGCCTTGAAATGTGTGAGAGCTGTTTCCTGAAATGTTTAAGCTGTGAGGCTGTCTCAAAACCAAAATCCTTCTTGATTTGGAGCAAAACTAGGATTAAAATCCCAGGGAACTATTTAGCAACAACAATTCCAGTCTTATCTCCACTTCAATAGGCAGGTAGAGCAAATAGCTGTCTGCACAGGCCCTAACTTCTTGCTGATCTTCATTGCAGATCTTCATTGCCTTCTCTCATTGCAGATTTTCCTTTGGGTTGGCAAATCCTCCAATGTATATGAGAGGAATGAGGCAATTGCCTCAGCTAAGGAGTATCTCAAGACCCATCCAGCAGGGAGAGACTTGGCGACTCCGATAATCCTGGTGAAACAGGGCTATGAGCCCCTCAACTTCACAGGATGGTTCAATGCTTGGGACCCCTACAAGTGGAGCGTAAGTTACTGAGAAAGCCCCATGGCGTGCACGTGTGCCCAGCAGCACTTTAGGAGTGTCACTGTCAATATCCACAATGACATACAGAGGAAAGCCTCGCTGCGACATCTCTTGAACTTCGTGGCTCCCTGGCACAGGGCTACCTGTCCAACTTTTGTTCCTTCTCCAGGAAAAAAAGCACCTATTTGATGAAATAGAGGGCTTTTGCGAATGGAAGTATTTGTGCTTTAATTCACATTGTTCACATTGTTCACATATTCCTTTTAAAAACATCGGATCCCAAATCAGATAGTCTGGGATTTCAGCAAATAAATATATATTTGGGTGCTTCTGATAGTAAAATCAAGTTTAGAGGCTCAACAGAGGCATCCCACATCATAAGGAGAATAAAAAAAAATGTTCATTTTTCAAAATGATATCACAGGGATAAGTTCATGACCCATCTTTTAAGGACAAACTCCAGTAAAATGAAAGATGTGAACAGACAGGTCTCTTCTCCAGATTTTCAGGCAGCCCATCAGAGCCCTGACACTGGACACCCTTCAGAGGTCTCCTTCACCTTTGCATCCTATAGAAAACCCATCTTCTGAAAATCTGATTTATAAATACCACCTATGCAGAAAGAGAAACCTCCCTCTGGAGCTGCCTGAGAAAGACAGAAGTCGTTCCTCCCTCACCCTCCTTTAATACACACAGATTTCAAACCTATACACCTGCCACCTGATGGCACTGGTGTGCGTGAGATAGGAAATAAAAAGCCCCATAATGATGGAGATTTGGGTAAAATCTCAGCTCCCAGGTGATATTTTCCCAGAGCAGGCTTAGGCAGCACAGCTCAGGGATCAGAGATCTGATTTTTAAGAGGAATGTGTGAACTTTGCCAAGCAGGCTGCCTCTGATCACCTCTTCTCTGTTCTTTTTCTCCTGCAAATGCTGGTGTTCATCACAAGCACATTCGTTATCTGGTTGCCTAAAAGGCTACGAGACGAGACCTGCACTGGAGCCTGCAGGGTGGACAGGCAGCAGGGGTGAAGGTTGCCAGGGGCTTCACATTATAGGAAATCTCACACAGAGCTAGTTTTACCCTGAATCTGGATGTGTCTCCTCTTTCTTTGCAAGCTGGTGTGGTGGTAAAAAAGTCTGCCTTAAGAAGCAGGGTTTGGACAAGTAAGATAATAGCTCCCAAAGCGCTGAACTTCAAAACAATGTTAGTGCTTGGAACAAAGGTCGAAAATGTGGGTCTTTTTGATGAATCACTGAAAAACAAGTATACAGGACAAAAAATAAAGGCCCCTGAAAAACATCCCCTGTAGGTAAACTCAGCAACTAAAGACAAGCAGTTCAAACTGTTAGCATCCCAGGAACATCTGGTGTGTGTGTATTTATTGCTCAGTTTTGGGTTTATATCTGTTTGCTCTGCAGTCCATGTGTTTGTGTTGTTTGTTCTTTTTGGGGAATTTTTCTAGATCGTGCTGTTAAGAACTGACATCTCCTGGCTGCTTAGGAAAACACAGTCAACAGCTTTGCCAAAATATCCAGTATATTCCTTTTTAGGAAGTAAGAAATATCTGTTAATAATAAGCCTAGAACTGAAGTTTTCATTTTGAAAAATTGGTACCTTCAGCTGAATTTAACAGGGGATGAAAAGACAGCGGGAAAAAAAAGCTTATGCTATACTTTCATATATTGCAAAATCAGTTTAAAATTTAGAAGATTAAAACCAAGTGGCAGATAAGGTTTCTTTTGGTTTTCGTCCTTCTCTATGGAGTCTTTAAGTTTCCTGTTTTTATGTTTCCATGTATTGTACAAGTGCAGAGGCTGAAAACTGCTTCTTTGTTTTCAAATGAAAGCTCAAATTCAGGCCAAATCTCCTGATTCCAGGAGTTGGGGATCAAACACCAGCTGCTACCATAGATGGCATCTCCACATCTTTAAAATTTATGTGATCTCTCAGCCCGACTGCAGAACAGGAGCATGTCCTCATTAAGGGTGACCTTGTCTTCTCATGTCTCTCTTTGCCTTTAGGATGGCAAGTCCTATGAGGAGATGAAGAACAGCTTGGGAGATGTGTCAGCTATATCCGAGATCACAGTGGTGAGTGGCTCCTACACCCTGTGAGTGGGAAATGTCAGGGCACTAAAACCACAGTGCTCCCCAACCTGGTCACAGGAAGGAGAGGGCACAAGGACAGAGCAGGTACCAGGAGCTCAGGATCTCAGGAGCTGTTCTCCTCCAAGGAAAACCCGATAAGATGTGATTAATAGTCCATAAATATATTCAGATCTCCTGAGATTCTTCCAGTCCTGCAAGAGGCATCTGTTGGCAGGAGACTGGACAGCTTATTTCCAAGCTACACATACAATAAAAGCATAAGGATCTTTGTAAGAGCAGCCTGCAGACCTGGGATCCCAGAGGCCCAGGGCTTTGGCTAGGGACACACAGGTGCCACAGGCTAAGGGGGAAAGAGCCCAGAGGGAGATCCCACAAAGCATGGCCAGCACAAGGTCCCAAAGGTGCCAAACATGACTGTCCCAAGGGATCAGTTCTGCCCTGCTTGGAGTCAGGCTGGAAGGAAGTGTCAACGACTTTAATCCAGGGGAGGGAGCAGGTCGGTGAGTGGTAGTGGGGGAATCTTCAAGCTTTAGGATGGTTAGGTATCTATTCTTACCCTTTCTGCTCCCCTGTGAGCCTTCCCTTGCCTTTTCCCTGAGAAATACTAGGCTATGTAAGTTCCCCTGGTTAGTTATAGAGGGTACAACCAATGCTGTGGTTTTATTATTCCTAATATCATGATATAGCGTTGGTGATGGACTAATGTCATAGGTTGAGCCATTTCCTTGTAGCTTTAGTTCTCCTGAGCTGAATCATGGCCTATACCATGACCAGTCCTTCCAGGCCAGCAGGGAGAAAGAACCTGGGATGATCCCTCCTCTGTTGCACTGATAGAGCGTGTTGTCTTGACGTGTTCTCTTTATTTCACAGGATCTTAATAACATCAACCTGAACAAGAGAAACATCAGTGTGATCAACTCAACTGTTTCAAGTACAAAAAGAGTCTCCTCTGAGTATAAAACACACCTCAACCACAGTGACAGCAACATCTACAGCAACAGCAACTGCAACAGCAGCCCATCTCCAACGTCCAATGGTGAAGGAATTTACTCCCGAGAGGTGCTGATGAACAAAACGGTGGATGAACTTCCAGAAGGCGTGGATCCTGCTAAGAAGGAGGTGATAGCACTGCTGGTTTCAAACCTAGTACTTGTGTTAGCTAATTGCATTAATACTTTAAGCTATTAAATCATACTTCGAAAATTATAGTCATTTCACCTGTGTTTTGACTCCATATTGGACCAAATATTTTAAACTAATGTTTAGAATTAAGAAATCAATTTAGGAAAAAAGGAAGTTTAAAAAGCTGATTTTAAAAATATTTACTTTCAGTGAGATTGTTTTGTAATGGCACTTGACCTCTGTCCTTGGGGGACAGAGCCTCAAAACTACAAATCCTGAAAGACACAGTGGCACTGTGCTTGAGTGTAACTGAGAAAGAAACCAGGAGTTTCATTCTGGCTGGGCCCTAGATTTCTGTTTTCAGTCAAAACTTTTTTAGAAATGATCTTTTGTTTAGTTTCTGTCTGTTTGTTTGTTAGAAAGCTTAAATTCCAGCAAGGACCTTTTTGTAGGGAGGAAAACAGCTGCATTTCTGCTCATTCCAAGGATTTTGTCAACATCTGTAGCTAAGCTCAAAGCAAGCAGAGCGGCTGATTTCCTTTGCTATCTACAGCCCATGATTGATCAGCCCATGTTTTCTTGCAGCAACAGATGTCCTGGCAGGTGCCAAAGTCTGTAGCTAAAGAAATGATCCACAGTTGGACCAGCAGCTCTGCACTGCAGTGGTGCTACCTCTCCTCATATACTAATGATGATATTTCGGCTGATCTTTACATAAGTGCTTTCTTTTATGCAAAATGCCAGCAAAAACCCAATTTCCACTTCCCATAGAGCTTTTCTGAGTAACACTGATAAACTAGCTATCTATAAAACATTCTGTCTTTCTGGCAATGGAAGAGAACATTTTCAGCCAGAATACTGTTTGGAGAATTGCTTTCCCTGTAAGTTTTTTCTTGAAAAACCACACAGTATTTCAGCCAGCAGAACTCCTCTGAAATAACATTAATTGTCATGGCCTTGGTGTTGCTAATGGGGCAGAGTTCCAGGCAGAACACACTAATCCCAAAATGATTATGTCCTTCTGGAATGGTGGGCTTATAATCCCTCTTAGATTTGGGAAGCAGGATGGAGAACAGCTGCTGGGATGTTCCACTTTCTCATCATGAGGACAGGCAGCAGGACAGGAGATGTTTACCTAAAGGGGCCTGCACTGGCATGGTAAGGCAGAGATGCTGTCTAGGGAGGTGTCCTAACCTCTACAAAAACAAATCTGTCTACTTGCTCTCTCTTCTCATTGCAGTACTATCTCTCTGATGCTGATTTCCATGATATCTTTGGGAAGTCCAAGTATGAGTTCTACCAGATGCCCAAATGGAAGCAACAGAATGAGAAGAAGCAATACGGACTCTTCTAAGGCTACAGGGACCTTCTGGCATCTCATGACTCTGGGACCAACCTCGATCTCTTAGGAGCGGCAGGGAAGCAAGGCTGATATTTGTCAATGTACCCAACTTCATCTCAACCAAGCCAAGCCCCTGTACAGTTCTTCAAGCAGGCACTGTTCAGGGGAAAGGTTCCTTTCTCTTTGCAAAATCCAAAACGTAGGATGCAAAATTTTTTCTAGGAGTGACTTTACAAGGTTTTCTTGCCTTTTTTTTTGGACATTTTATTGCTGATAGTCACAAAGACAAGTGTGTCTCACACAACCATAGTGTAGCCTGTTCTCTCCTCTCCCCTAACCAAATTTCCACTTGCATAAGTTCAGGGTCTTCCTGAAATTTGAGTTAGGAATATTAGGAAATTAGAAATTTAAAACTAGGCAGGACCAAGACTACTTGCAGTGGATGTGTAAGTGCTGGGTTAGGAGAGGAGAGGAAGGCACTAGAGGGATAGTGGGGAGTCTTGGGGTCAGGAAAACATACTGCATGGGGTAGTTTATGGAGTGAGATTGGCCAGATCAACTCCTTAACAGCTTGCAGAAGAGATATTCCCCGCAGAAATCAGTTGTAGACTAATATGCACTATTTGATGCAGAAAAAAAAAAAAAGAAAAAATACAAAAAAAAGGAAAAAAAAAGAAAAAAAAAAAGAAGAAAAGAAAAAAGAAAAAAAAATAAAGAAGCTGGCTTGTAAAAAAATATTTAGAACATATTTATTAGCCAATTTATTTTAAGAGGCTGATGAGATTTAAGGCTAAATGCAGGATTTTGAGTGTCAGACAAGACCATATTTTAGTTTTTTCTTCCATTGAGAAGATATCTCCGTTCTCACCTGGTCTCTCCGTCCATAAGCAGGTGCGGGCGAATATCTCTTCATACAGACCAGGGACCTGGAGAAGCCAGGGGGTTTTGGGAAATTACTTTGTCCGACTGCAGCATTCGTCACAGAGCTCCTCCCCTGTCATCTCTGTGGGGCTGGGAGGGCACGTTCTGCAGTGTGAGCTCAATCTGATCAAGAGATTGGGGGGCAATACTAGTGATCAGTGTTTAAGGGATATCACTGTAAACAGAAGGACGAAGCATGTACATTTGAAGAAACCCAGAAGACTTGTTTTTGCAGCTTTATTCCACTTCCAGCCTAATCGCTGATTTCAAATAAACAGCCAACAGCAGCATGAAAACTGTCCTTTATCAGCAGGTGGGGTAGGACAGTGGTGGAGAAAAGCTCTGCAGGGCCACAACTCCTTCAAGCAGCTGGTCGTTAATGGGGTTTGGGACATTTTTAAAAGAAAAGGACAAACACAGGTGGTGCAGGCCTCTCTGTCCTCAAAAAAACACACAGCAGGTGCCTTGGCAGCATTTCTTTCCCTGTGCCGATGCCCCCTGCTCCTGAAGGCTCCTGTTCCTTGCAAACAAGGCCACTTGGCTGCCCTTCTTTTGTACTCAGCAGCTGACCTGATTGTCCATCCCTGCTCCAGGGATGCAGTGTTCATGGGCTTAGGAGCTGCAGTTGACCTAGGAACAAAGAGTTCTCGAGCAATATCCAGGACTAGTAACAGTGCAGTAGTGGTGAAGTGTCACCATCTGGCTGTTCTGGAGGCAAGCACCTTAAGTTTTTGTGATTTTCTGCAGAAATCATTGCAATTAAGATCTGCAGGCTACTTTACACAAGCTGCAATCTCGTCATTACCTCTATGCTCCCTAGCAGCTGCTTGGCCCATCTATGCCTGAGGGCCCAGCGCAAAAAATCCATTGAAACCCTGTGCAGAGTAAGGTAAGAGTCAAGCAGAGACACAAATCAGCCAAATTATCTGCATGATTGCCCCTGTTGTGTTCACACTGGATACAATCAGTGCACATTATCCCTGTTTCAGCCAGCATTGCCACAGTTGGAAGCAGCAATCCACATACAATATTTATATCGCCCCGCTGTGGCATGCTCCTGTCAGCTCCCACATTAATGAGTTGCATGAGCTACTTGATAAAACTCAGCGACTCCATATATAAGCCCTGATTGTGGGCCTGAAGAGTGGCATTCAATCAAATGGAGAGAGGTGGAAATGCAATCGGATTAGGGAGATTAGCCTGGTTCATGACATGTTGCTTTCATTCCTGCTTCCATGATGCTCACCAGCAACTGTGCGTGGAGAGCTCATGCCAGGACTCAGAAAACAGCATGAGACTTTACAAATAAAAGGTCTTTGTGATATTTATGAGCTTCTTATGGGGACAGTAGGTTTTACTGTCTACCTCTGATTTATAAAGGAAATGGCAGTTTCTCACCGGTTCCTCCTTCTCATACCACGTGCTATTTTGCACTGCAATGTCTACTGGATCATGTCTCATTTTTGCTGCTGCCCTGGTGCCTCTTTTCGCTAGATCTCTTCCCTGGAGTGAGGCCACAGAAACTCCTATGCAGCCCCGAGCTGAGGTCCCTCGGCACCAGTGTAGACCATGTTCCTTTGGGGAGAGACCTTACGGTGGTGTCTCCTCATGCTCAGGTCCATCTCAGCTAAGTCACAGCTGGTCCAGTTGTTTTGTCCCAACTCTGTCAGCTGATCTGAGCAAGGCTGTTCACTCTTCCCCAAATCTTGCCTGTCTTTATTTAAACACACAAGAGGCAGAAGAAATCCTGACTTCTCCATATAGTCCATTTAAGGCCTTCATCATGGGTGGTGTGCTCTTGCCCTTGTCCACATCTATTTCTCACCTTGCAGTTCCCCACTCCTCTGTTCTTCTAGTGATTAACCTTATCTGGTAGGCGGGAGGGTAATTAAGTTCACTGATCCAAAAGACATCTAACTTCACAATGCAAAACCCAAGTATAATCTGTTCCTAGACAACACAACTGCTCATCTAGCTCATCACACAAGATTGGTCACTGATATGAGAAAGGGGGTAGAAATGTCACTAATCACACCAGTACTCAGGTGGCATGGTTCAAGCTGCCTGCATTGTGTGGAGGAGTCAAGGGTATCCTTTATTCACACTTTTTATCCAGTGGCTCTTATAAAAAGAGGTGCACAGAACATCCTATCAGCAGGACCAAACTGAGCCTGTCCCCTTCTAACTATCGTGTTCTGCACTGGGCTTCACAGACATTATATGCCAGACATCTGGTCACTGAATGGTCCACAGAGGGAGCTACATGTCCTGCTGTGTCAATATTTGTTGATAAATGTCCTTCCTTTCAGAGCTGGGAGCAGTCAGCTCTGTCCCTGCTCTGTCCTTCCTGGACAAGTGCTGTTACCCTTAGGCTGTGGTAAAGAAGATGAAAGTTATAGTCAGGAAACCACTGGGCTTACCAGGATACCCAGTTTTTGCATCTCAGTGGGCTTTGATTGGAGGTAGGATCCTTGTATGACCTAGGTCTGAGCACAGGAGCAATGTGTGGACATTTGGGGGACTGCTCTGGGGACACCATCATCCAGCTCCAGTGCCCAGAGTGAGAGACTTTGGTTACAACTCAGTTTTGTGGTGAAGAGGAATGGAGACACATTTCAGTCCTCCTCTGACAAACTTCCCCTGGGGAAAAGGATATTAGGCACTTGCTGCACAGAAAATTGTATTTTTTTCCCCAAATGATAATGCTGCAACCCCAGGGAGGTGGTGAAGGAGCAAGAATAACAGTTAAGCCCCATCACATAGGAGGACCACCATGTGGGACCTTCATGGCAGCAGAAGACTGCATGTGACCACATGACACTGCATGTGTCAAGAATGCTCCCACCTTGGCTTTCAGTTGTGTCTCATGATGCAACCTGCCCCATCTTAGAGGTGAGCTGAGAAGCAACCCACATCACTGCATGAAAGCTCTCTCTGTCTTGGTAATGTCTGCCTGGAGCTCTTTGGATCACTGGGAATTAATTCAGTTTGAGCCTTTGAGGTGTGAATTAAATTCACATTTAATCTGGCAGTGGTTTACAACATCACACAGTATCATAGTGAGGAGGAAAAGTCAACGTGTCCAGCAGTGATTACTGCAGCATGACAGACTCTGGGCTGGACTAAATGAAGCCCAGTTTACAGTGTGCCCACTGGTTACTAAATCCTGACTATTTTGGATTAGGAAAGAGATGGGGCAAGGAGCGCACTGGAATTTATTCAGAAGGACATTAACCTCTTTGGTAGCAGCACGCCAGTCTTCACCACCACTAGGCATGATAAACTCCAGAGAGATTTAGACAAATTAAACAGGTCTATCTCCAAATTCACGTGTGTTGCATTCAAGCAAGCCAAAGAGGCAAATAGTGACAAGTAATTGGACTTTTTCCATTTTTTTTTCTGCTTTTAATACTCTAACATATAGTTAGTAACACAGCTGGTACTTCAAAAATATATTATTTTATTTCAACAATATTCCCCTAACTCTGTAGTTGTACTTGGGAAAAAAAAAAAAAAAACCCTTTTCCCATAAATACTGGATTACTGTTCAAAACACTTTTGCCTGCTTGTGCTAAATTATGCCTATAGTGCAATTGGGATCAAACTAACATTTAAAGAGGTTTCTACTGCCACTTCCTCCATGGTTAAAAAAAGACATTTTTTTTTTCTAGAAAAACACAAACAAAAAAGATTTACGGCACTAAAAAAAAAAAAAGCCTTACTGTCAGTTCAGTGTATTTCCACTGTCAGTTGTAAAAGACATTCTCTGAGGTCTCTCTGAGTGGGTTTCACTTTGCGTTAGAGGGAAATCTGCCATTTGGTGGCTCCTTTCTCCTTCACAGATTTGGAGCCAGGCTTTGAATGCACTGCAACCTGGCTGAGAGCCAGGCACACAGGCAGAGTAGTGTTCATGTATTTTTTATTGTAATACAAAAGGTGAGTCAAGTTATACAACGGGGGCCTGTGTAGTGCAGCTTTCTCTTTTAAGAAAGCTTTGTCCCTGTTTGGGACTTTGTATAGCAACATCTGCAGTAGTGTGAAGTCCACTGGTTTCTGACTGCTGGGTTCCAGGGGTAGGGTGTGCTTTTTGGCACAAGTGTTAGGTGTTTTGTCCAGATGACTGCCCAAACTCAACCCAAGAGCTGTTTCTTCGGCTAAAAAGGAGTCCCTATGCTCTCACTAAAAGCAGAATTAAAAATCACATGAATTAAAGTGAACTAAAAACATGTCTGGATTGATGGAACAGGTACAAAATGATTATTCTCAACAATCCCAATAGGATGTTTCCAGCACACAGAAGGGAGAGGTTCGATGGCTATTTCACATCACGGGCCCTATGGGGCACCACATGTTGCTCTGGAGAAGGCACTGGGGACTTGACGGGATCCCGCTGTAGGTAAATATCGCACGAGACGTCGCACGCTGAGGTTCTTCTAGGTCTGTAACAGGCTTCACTGCGCCCAGAAAGTGTTGAGCCGCTAATCACAGTCCTGGATATCGACGTACACAAAGAGGGTGGAGGAGGAGTACGGGTCCCCATTCTTAGTTAGAAGATGGATGTGGCGGTAACCTGGAAGGAGAACCACAGACGGAAAGCAGCCCTTAGTCTTGTCAATAAAATGTTTGCTAACATTTGCCAAGGCCCCTCAGTAACACTTCCCTTTTTGTAGCTGCCCCCAAGTGTTTTGCTCCGGGTGCCTCACAGAACAGGTAGGTTGGATAGGTACAGCTTCAGGCACTGGGAACATAAGGAGGGACCCCCTTCCCTCCTTAGCTGCTGCTTATCCAGAGACTGTGTTGAGCACTCAACAAGCCATTTACCATCTTGGCCAGGCCCCGGAGAGAAAGTCTCTTGGGACTTCCAGTGCAATGGGCTCTAGGCATCACCTAGGGCACAGGAGCTTTTGAAAGGGCTCAGGAGGTGCAAGGAAGTGGGAGCAGGGCCTTACCTTGCTTCAGACTAGTGAAGGGAAGGGTGTACTGCCCAATGAAGTCATTCTTGGTTGACATGTCAAAGTCTTCTACCACAAAACGCACGAGGGCAAGCTCAGGAATCTCTACATCAAACATAAACTCTTCATCCCACTTGGGGTTAAAGCCTAAGCAACACAGAAAAGGATGGAGATCAGAACTGGTTGCAGAAAAGGTTGGAGGTCAGAGATGCTTCCAAACTGATGTTACCTCTGCTTGACTACCAAATTAAGATGACTCGTGACAAAGGTCGTGCAGTCAGTGCTGAGACCCTTGTTCCCAGCTCTGACAGCAATTCGCTATCTGACCTTAACAAATTTTACAGTTTAGGCTGCAGCACATCCTAACTGCAGCAGACAAATCCTAGGCCCACTGTGGACCTCAACACTTGGGTCTCTCCAGTGGATGCACAAGGGCATCTCAAGTAGATGTTGGACCAGCAACAAATTTGTACAGCCTCAAACCAGAGCAGAAGAGAGACAAGAGCAGGGCCTTTATACTGTGGTGCTCTTCTAGAAGGTGCAAGTTTATGCCTCCTCATTCATCAACACCCTGTGCCTCAGTTTCCCTGTCTGCAAAAAGGGTTAACGAGGCATGTCTATCTATGCAAAACACTATCACATACATGGAGAAGATGCTTTACATCTCCTCATATAAGGGCAGTGCCTGAGAGAGCCAAACTCACTCCATTTCTGCTACAGATCAGGAATAGCTGATCTAGACTCACAAAGCAAACACAGCTAAGATTGTAGTATCAGATGATAAGTGCAGGTGCCTTGCAGACTCCCTCCAGGTGACCTTGAGTGCTTTCTGTAGTTTCAACAAACCATTCACCAGAAACACTCAGGAGGAAGGGACACTCTGTTCAAAACCCTGATGCCGTCAGCATAGCCTGTCTACCCTGACAGGCCGAGGACATTAAAACACCAGGCCAAGCCTGCTGGTCACTAAGGATCTGTTGACTATTTGACAGGAGGCAGAGGGTTTTCAGATCACCTACACTAGATCCATGGAACACTCATTCTGGGACGGCAAATTTTATTCTGCCATTCACAGAAATAGATCCACTGGACTGTTCAGATAACACATATCTATCCCTGAATCCCTTTATCTTTTGAAAAAAAGACCTTTAAAAAAAAGTCTGATCTTCCTGATCCCAGGGAAACAGAAACCATGAAATCATCTTAGAAACACATATTTTAAAGTATATGTCATTTTGTAGGATATTTCTGTGTCTAAATGCCTTGGAGGGACAAAAAGTGGACGACCTCATGAAAGAGAAATCCCAGAGGAACATGAATCTGTGGGGCTAAATAATACCACCAGTAGGTTGTAAACAGGGTCCCTGAAGTCAGGCAGGCCCACAGCATGTCCTATACCCTCACAATGTGGACAGGCTTGGATTCACCCAAAGCACAGGTTTTGGTGAGGAACACACTGCCATGTGTGATGCTCCAAGGGAGCTCTAGGTGGAAGAAATTCCCTTACCATTGTTTTCAATGACTTTAGTCTGTTTCTTGTTGTTGTCTTGCTGAATGCCATGGATCTCAACCGTTACCTTAGGATCAACAATGGAGTTTTTGCTTTTGTTCACCTTGGGCAGCTGCTGACCAGAGATGATCTGCAAAAGAAACAGAGGAAAAAGTCAGACTGTCAGAGGAGGGGGTCTACCTGGCAAAATTTCCTTCTCCTTCTGCAGGAGTATAGAACTTGTTGTGATTAGTTAATTTTGGTACTTTATGGTCAACATTGTGACAGGCCTGAAGCAGAAGTTGATCACTGGAAATCAGTTGGGTTAGGATAATGTTGCTCAGGTGGGACCAGTGAAAAAAGGAGGTATAACCTGCAGCCCCCCCAAGGTGGATGCTAGTGATACAATTTTTGAAATTCTATTCTTACTTTAAGCAGAAGTTTCTTCCTTGTTCCCCATGTTCCTTCTGTGATGGATTTTGGATTGAATGTGGTTTGCTCATCCCGGAGGAATTCTGGCTTTAAGACATATCCAGAAAACCCATTGTCCTGGAACCGACCCTGGTAGACATCCATTTCTGTGCCTGCTGTCTGGAAATTTAGGGCCACTGCAATATAAATAAATAAATTCAGTTACTTTCAAGTAAATCAATGGGAGTCTTCTTATACTCATTCTATCCACCCAAAATGGCACTTCTGGATATAAACACTGGTTCTTCGATGTGCACAGATCAGTGATATACCCCACCCCTCACTGCCTGCTTCCCCTGAGGATTTCACACATTCAGCACTATTAGAGGCAAAAAGAGCCATTACAGCCATTCCAGTTATCCAGCTCCTTGGCACTGGGTCAGTTGGCAGTTGAGTCAAAGAATATCCTGAATTTATATCATCTGGTTGAACAATCTCATCTTTCAAATAAACCCATTCATTTCTGCTCAGAAGGCATTATCTCCTGCAGTGAATATAAAGAATTCTTTGGTTGCCTAGTCTCACGATGAAGCCTCCCTTCCAGTTCAAACTTAACAACCTCTTTTGCCATCCTTAGAGCCATTAATACCTCTGCTTGTTAGACCAAAGAGCTCTTCACTACCTGAACTCTTCATAGAGGAGTACAGATTGCTCTTTAATTTGCAGAAAAGATCTTCTAATGGTAATGAGGTAGGCCAGAATATGCTCTATGTAAAGGCAGTGAGCACTGACTGAAGAGCTGATTTCTCTAGATGACCATTGAGCCTCTCTGCCAGAAAGTGGCTTGAGACCACCCATCCACCTCAGTCAAAGTCTCACCAAACCAGATTATGGGTGACTTGGCTATGTTCACCATCTTGCAGCTCCCTGTTGCACTCACCGATCTGGCATCCGACATTCCACAAATCGATCGGGTTATAGTTGGAGGAATCTGTCCTCCAGCCTGCAGGGTAGATCCGACTCAGGTGCCTGATATTGTGATGAATAAAACTGTTTCCTATGGAAAAACAAAAATAAGAATAAAGAAGAAAATGTCCCTTTCAGTGACGGGGGCTCTCTTCTTAATGCCATATATGCAGCTTCTTTGCCTGGAGGGTCTGACTGTATGTGAGTTGCCTGTATAAAATGTCCTTCTTGGTAATAGCTTCTATAGCATAAAGTTTTTCTCACTGTTTCTCATCATGACATGCATTGCCAAAGAGACTGTGACCTACATCTTTGGAGATACCATCCCCCTACACTTGACTATCAGTAGCTGTTGTCTTTATAAGGAATTGGGACAGAGGACACTCCTTTGCCAGGACAGAATGTACATACCAGATTCCTGAGCTAGCTTCAGAGCTTTGCTCTCTGAGAACGATGACATCTCATAGAAAGCCCGAGGGTGATTGGGGTCTCCAAAGCCATTGAAATGGACACTCTTGCAGTAGACAACTGTGTCTGACAGTTCCTTGGCCAGCTTCAAGGTGTCACTCTAAAAACAGGAAATCAAGAGATCTGTGGGAAGTTTCTGCAGTCCTGCTCAGAAATACTCACCATGTCATGTCTGTGATCCCTAAGGTTCTTCAGCCTCTCCAGCTGAAAAGGATGCCTACTACCAACACACAGTGACATCCTTGCTCAGAGGGACAGCAGAAAAGGGAAAGGCTGTCCTTTCCATATCGCTTTTCTTCTTTGTAAAGTGTTAAATCTCTCCACTTGGAACATCAATTGGGAACACCACTGACACCATTTCACCAGTCTGTACACCAGCTGGTCCAATGATAACACCAGCTTCCCAAGCGTTACCATCCAGGATATTTCACTGCATCTTGGTCATCGTTCCTTCTGCAGTTATTTACATGCTGTTATGTGAATGGCTATTACAAATTATCTCATTATATTATGGGGCTCATAAGTGATCAGGGCTGCAAATACGGGAATAACACATCTGGCGTGTATTGCTGAGCTAAGAACAGATTTCATACAGCAGATGCTTTGGTCTCCCGGCACTATTGTTTCATGATGTCCTCTAGATGGATTTTCTCACTTTGTTGGTAGGATACCTTTTCTACTGCTTTCTGCATAATCACTTGTATTTCAGCACCAATGTCCTTCTCCAGAAGCTAAGCTTTACAATTGACCTTTAGCAATGACTTTCCACATTGTCACAGTGGCAAACATGCAGAAAACAATGGGAAGTGAATGATGCTTGGGCTTTCATAGAGCTTGGGTCTGTTTGCCTTCAATGAAGAAGACCCCAGATTGCTTTCACAATGCTCTGGTTCCTGCTACTCTACTGTCGCATTCATTTGTGCAAGGATTAAGTAAGAACTGCCAGCTCCTATTAGACAAGGAAAGAAAATAACAAACTTCAAAATAATACATATTGCCGACTACACATAAAAGAATGAGATGATAAACCCTTCAAAGAACCAAGTGAGTCAGCAAATTGAATCTGGAGGCAATGTCAATCAATTTTAACATCAGTGGGACTGAACGAATTTATGTCAACTAAGAATTTGGTGTCTGCCATACAGTATAAGGCTTTCACAGGCTGCAAGAATGAGCATCCTCACATTGGGGAGTGAAACACTGTTGTGAAAACCATCTTTTTCCCACCAAAATAGTCATCGTGATTATATTAGTAACTTTTCACTCTTTTCTCGTAGCTCTGTAGTTCTATCTCCCACACAGGACCTGTAAAAATGACCAGTGAGCATGAAGGTATCTCTCAAAGTTTGAGGAGATAAACATCAGCTTCTGGTTCGGAACAATGTCATAACGTTTCCCTGAGATACAGATGTCTGCAAATGAGGCAGAGATGGAGCACACATGTTGTCCCCTAAGGCTTCCATAAATACTACAGGGTCTACCCAAGACAAACAGTCCTCCCACCTTGTTTTAGGACAAGAAACCAACCTTCCTCCTTGAATGGCCCTGTGAGATCTCTGTGCTTGTTTCTGGGACAGAAATCATTAATCTAAGCAAGGATCTGGACCGTTACCTCCAATGCTTTCAGTAACCTATTCAGCTTACCCTACTCCTGGTAGAGAATCTGAAACCATATTGGAAACTGGCTTAAATGGGACAAGATTTAAAGTACATTTCTACCAAATCTTTTTTCTTTGAACATGGCACATATTCCACCTAGAAAGTGGTTTGCCACCGCAAGATATGAGATAGGCAAAAAGCTGGGATTTCCCCAGATCCTCAAAGCCTTCTGCAATAGGGAAGAATCTATTTTATAGCTCTTTGTCCCTCTCTAGGTCTCCCAAGTTCAGGAACTCAGCAATGTCTTTGACTCACCTTCCCCTTCTGCTCCACTTCCGTCTTTACAGACTCATCTTCCATTTCAGCTGCTTCATCTTCATCAGAGACATCCTCAGCCTCCAAGTTATTGTTCCCGTTTGTTCCAGTGGGATCCTCTTGCCTGCTCAGCTTCTTCCCTTTCACAAGGATCTTCCCTTTTAATTGCTGCATTAGGAACAATGTACAGAACGGCTGGAAGTTACAAAGGATTCTGACTGCTCCAAAGGAGCAAGGAATAACAGCTCTGGGGTTGTAATCAGGGCAAGGGCCCTTTAGAGTTTCATCAGTTACTGATTAATTATCCGCAGATACTGGTAGAAAGTACATTTGTTCTGCTGAAGCTTTGCCCTGCCTCTGGCCAGCCCCTGAGACTCAACCATGAGTTGAAAATCCTGGATAGTCCATTGATTCTCCTCTAGTACAGACCATTGATCCCATCAACAAGATGACCTGAACATCAGTGCTATTAAAGTTCAAGAAAATATCTTATTCTTTCCAAACTGAATGTAGCGCAGTGAACAAGGGCAATCTGGGGGTCCGGACTTCATGAGAGGTATTTATGACACCATTATTGACTCTCTGTATGGATATTAAACAGCCTCTGCAATGTATGGATATAAATGCTGAACAACTTGGAGAAGTGTGAGATCCATGCATGGACTGAAGCAGTACAGCCCTGTGCATCACAAGGCTATTTAATGAGGAGAGGTCCATTAAGCTTTGAATCAGTGCCTTGTCCCTAGCAATCAAGACATTTTAATAGGGATGGAAAGCACTTGAGGGTGTTGACAACCTAATGAAATATTCACAAATCAGAGAAACCAGAGATCTCTCCTCTTCTATGAGGGACGCCTTCGGCACTGCTACCACAGTGAGACACAAATGAGAACCCTGAAGACACTTACAGACTTAAAAGGCATTTTAGAAGCAATGGTCCTAGAGACCAGCTGCTGAGATGTATTAAGCAGTATTAAGCAGTAAGCAACAGGAGGCCTTCGAGTGAGGGTGAATGTTTGGTGCCTTACTGGAGAAGGGCTGCAGGAGATTTACTTTCTCCTCGCCCACTTCCACTATTTCAAGGGGAACACTGACGCTTTCACACAGCTCTGCTGGACTGCCTTTAACAAAACAAAACCTTAGGTGCTTGCTGCTTGGCCTGCGTAGAGCAGCATATGCCAGTGTAGCACAGTTGGCTGCTCGCCCAATCCAAGGAGCATGTTTCTTGTGCTGCATCTTCTCTCTTGAGCCTCTTTCAATATCTACAGGAAGCTCCCAGGTGAAGCAGAAAAAATGACATGACTCCAGTGCCAGGAATACATGGTGCCCTCATACAAACATACCACCACCATGGCCCAGAACTTGCACCAAATCTGACTGCAGAAGGAAGGTTGAGACCTTGAAATGACTGATTCTGAATCCAAATGAGGCAGAAGGGAGCAGCGCTGAAGAGGGTGAATGCCCAGAGGCCATTTTCAGGGGAGCAGGCATGCCTCAAAAGCAGTTAATTCAGACCAGGAGCACTCCTAGACTCCACTACTTCCAGTAAAATCAGTGGGAGGTCTACTGCGTTTCCTGCTGACACATGGATGCTTTTGGTATTCTTGGCTATGGACAGTGTTGCTTAATCCAGCAAAATGCAATCTCAGAATTAGCAAATAGAATTCCTCAGTCTGTGTGCAGCACGTTCTCCCTTCTTTCAGTGACATCCTGTATTGGCCCCTTCCACCACAGTAAACGCAAAAATCCCCACTGTTCTCAAATGACAGGGCTGTAGAAAACCAAGGATTTTTGTTAAATCAACACAGATTTTTGAAGAATGCAATTGCCTCTTTGTGGGTGCAAGTAAATTGCATCATGTCTCAGTAGACCAGCCTAACCCCTCAACACCCAGCCAAGCTATGCATAAAATTTGGCTTGAGCTGAAATCTGACCCAGGCACCTGTAGAAGCAGCCAAGAGCTTTTTCTTACAGCTACCACAAATGATATGTTTACATTGGGGCACTTTCCCTGTCATGCAAAAGCTGCACAAACGCATCTGGGAGGAGGCTACTGATTACTGGGTAAGAACTGATTGGGAGAAAAGATTAAAAGGAATATTTAGAGCATAGCAATGTCCTCCTTCCCACAACCAGATGATTCTCAACCCACCCAGCTCCTCAGCCCTCTTCTAGGCAGAGGTTTACCTCCCTTCTCCACATGCATAGATGGGAGATACAATGGCTCATCTTAAAGTTTCACTTCAAAACCACTGTCTGTGGTATCCACATTCCACTCTTCTTGCTTCCAGGATCCAGCTCTTTTCTGTGCTTCCATAATACCCACTAGCAGCTGGTGAAATCTAGCTCTCTGCAACCTTCCTGACTCCATTCAATGCTTTGGATAGACTAGTTTAGGGGGTTAAGTTGGTGGAGGGACCCAGAGAAGCACTGCTATTCCTTTGCAGGCCACAGACAACCTCCTGCTATACATGATTTTTCTCTGCATCTGCTTTCTAATGTCTCCTAAAGGATGTTTCAATAAGCTTGCCACTCTTAATTTCACAGCCCAACAACAGAAAACTAGAGATAAAGGTGTTTAGGGCAGATTGCTCGATTCATTATTATGAAACAGAATCCTAACCCATGTTAAGCTATTAAAATTCAGAACAGACTATCTGTGGGAGGTTGTGATTTCCAGCACAGACCACCCTAAGTGACTGAGTAACATCAGCAGTGACAGTACAGCAAGTTGGCCTTCACTTCGGGTCCTAACCACAGCCAATACTGGCTAGGGCTGCCAGTAGCGCCTCCTCAGTGCTACTCTTACCCATGGACTCAGCCTGGGTGCTCAATACGGTGATTACACCATAACAGTGGTCCCTTCAGGCCTTGAATGCTAAAGGAGTCCTGTTGCATTATAAAGGTTTAATATCCCTCATTGCAGGTGATTTCTTTCACATCTATGGGGGAGAGCAGTCCATGTATGACCAGACCCACGACAAGATGCATTGGCTCACTGGGCTCCACAAAATCTCCCTTCAGAGGGGTAAGATTCACACTAAAACAGATGTAGGATGTACACTTCCTGCAGGAGGTGCTGCTCTATAGTAGCAAATCCACCTTGCAGAAGTTGCCACTTGTAAGCATTGTCCTCTCTCATTTCATAATATGAGTAGCAGGAAGCAAAGTGAAAGAAATTTCAGTGCTTATCTCCTTTAATGAGGTTTTAAATCAGTAAATACACAAAGGCAGAAGCACACACATACACTCATTCTAGCTCTCTTAGTTTTCCTTCACGTGACATTAAGTATTTCAGGCCTAACTTTGCCTGAGGGGACAGACAGTTCATCAGTTCAGCTCTGCTGAGCAGATCCCATCTTCAGGAGAAGCACGAGTGTTCCTGAAATACTCAGCAAATATTCTCCAAATAGACCATAAAGCCATTCCAACTGCCTGGGGCAAGCACTAGGTCAAATAAGACCTAAGTCAACAGGAACGGTTACAAGAACACTGGATCAAGAACATATAGTATGGTGACTGCTAGAATAGGGGCAGTTCTTGCCATTTCTTATATACCTTGGAAGCCTTATTGCCTTAGCTCTCTGCAAGAAAAGATCCCTTCTTTCTCCCTGCCACCTTTCTTGTTGCACACCAGCAAGCCTGGCTCTGCAGGTGCAATTCCGACACCCAGATTTGTCCCTTTGGAAGTCTGGGATTTGAGGTACGGCAACCATCTTAAATCAAAGCACTGTTTATTTTATCCAAAGGTGAAAAACTGTTAAGACCAGATCTTCACACATGGGTTCCTCCTACCTGAAAGTGTCTCACTCCTAGTGGCAGCCTGTAAACCATGTACCTATGGCCTGATTTCCTACTTTAATCTTGGTGGGAGAGAGGAGATCCACCTCATCAAACTTTCTGTGCTTTCAACACCTCCTTTAGAGTCAACAGAGAGAACTAAACACTTCTAGGGTGTGATTCGCCCAGCCTCTTTAGATAAACACTTAGGAGGAGGTGAACCACACCTCACACTCCCCTGGTTGTGTTACTTAGCTTCAAAAGGAGCCCAAAGTGACTTGCTAGAGTACATGGATATACAGTACCTGAGCAGTGCCACCTTACATCTCCCCTTCAGGATAAAGAAATCCATCTCCCTAGATTTCAGAGTTGTTAAGACTATCAAATTAGTGTTCATAAGGGAATATATAGACCAGATGTTCTAATTCATATCACACCTCCATCTGTGAGTGTCTTTCAGGCCACCTCTAGGCTGTGGTGTAGCAAGGTATCTAATGAGTGTTTAATACAGAGGATGGGTCTTTAATATAGAGGATGGGAGGAGGAATCAAAAAATAGAAAGAAACACACTATCAAAGGCGATTTTGAGACATATGAGGGAAAAAACTTAAGAATTTCAGCCAAGAAGATGCACTGTAGTCAAGGCCAATAAAGGCTGTGCTAGCATTAGGGAAAGACATGTATGTGGAGTTAGGAATGAAGTCATGGAACTTGAAGCCACACGCACTGTAAGCCAACACAGCATATATCCTACTGGGTGGTATCTACTCAATAGCCTCAGCCCATGGTGCAAAAGCAGATTGGGCAGATGGCTCTTGGGATCAAGTCCTGATTTAGATTGCTGTGACTGCAGCTGGTTGGGACTTTGCTGAACCAAATCTAGAGGCATTTGCTCCATTGCCCTGAGCACAGTGTGCCCTACAGGACGGCCACCCCTGCATTCATACTGGTTGTGCCGTGCTGTGATGCTGCTGCTGCAATGGGGGCAGCTCCTGAGCTAAGAGACTCAAGAAGAGATGCTGAATGTGGGCAACAGAAGCAGAAATGGAGGCAATTAATGGAACAGATGGTGGGACGGTGGAGGTATGGGATAGTGGAGTCCACAGACACAAGCCTTCCTACAGGCGAAAGAAGAGACAGAGCCCTTTCAAGGTCACTGAACTGGGCTGCAGATCAGGGAGTTCATGGTCACACTGCCAAAGCAGGTCTGTTAAGTCAAAGATCCATCCTCACTGAAAACAAGGAAGTCCAGCACAAAGAGTACAGAGCTCTCTTGGATTTCCACTGTATTAGAAGTCGCATGCATTGTTGGTAACTGTTTCAGTCTCATTTCAGTGTTGCTTTCTGCCTCATATCTGATTGGAAAGCACAGATGTGGGGAAAAGGCCCTAGCAAACCTCTGTATAGAGCAGGGATGAGACAAAAGGACCTGAGAAAAGCAGTCAGCAGCTCTCCTCTAGGACCCCAGTGCTGTTCCAAAGCTTTCCTGAAGCTTTTCCATGGCTTTTGAACATCATACAGACTTGGCTTTTTTGATCACACAGATCTCAAATTTGTTATTGGGACCTAAAGATAGTGATTTAAGGGGGATATTTAGATTTCTCTGTATAGCCCAAACCTCCGACCATGTACAGATCCTAATAAATCAGATCGGACAAATCTGCCCTGGGCTGCAGTGAGAGTCATTAGTGTGAATCCAAACTGTGCTGGTTTTCTTTTAATTACTGGTACTGCCCTGCTTACACACTCCACAGCAGTGTGTTGCCTGCTTCTATTTGCAGTTTTATAGCCCTCTTCCTAGTGGCAGATCCAAGTCCCACCCTTTTTTTCTTAAAAAAAAAAAAAAAAAAAAGCTTTCTAGCTTTTCCCATGCCAGCTCTACAAGGAAGTGGAAAATCCAAAAGGTTTTTCTTGTTTTTTTCCATAGTGTTTCAGGTTCAAGGTACTTTCCACAAACGGTTAGCAATTCAGCCCTTCACACTCCTTTGCTTCACAAGGCAGGCAGGCACAGGAAAAATACCAGAGAAAAAAAGTGTTGTTTTCACTACATTGCCAATTTTTTTTTTTAACTAAATGGATCAACCCCTCCACTGGAGCATATTATCCCAGATCTATTCACTAAGGTAGATTCAGGCCCTTTTGTTTCATTTGGAGCCACATGTTCATCTGCGCAAGCAGAGCAGCAGAGATGAGCCCAAGAATGGGAAAAACATCTTTAGGGAGGCTGGGGTCATTTCCTTGTACACATCACACATTTCTTCTCCTGATGTTTTTCTCCTTTCGAGTTTTCATATTATTCCCCTGGCCTGCAAAGCATTAACAGTGCATTGAAAAGTTGTCAGCGGCTTTCCAGCACTAAAGATAAATAACTAGCCAAGAGGCAATACTTAATGCTTTGATTTTCCAACTCTGTACTAGCCTGCAGAGATCTGTCTCCATGCTGGGTGTATCCTCATCCTGGGACAGTCGCTGATTAAAAGGAGGCAACTTTGTGCCAGTGTAAAGGTCCTACTGAAGCAACAGCACCAAAATTATGATTTATCCTATTTCTTGCACCTAGGGAGCAACATGGATCTGTTTACTCTGCAAATCTATTGGGGTGCAACACTCAAACAAAAGGGGAAAACCAGAAAAGAGAAAAAGGGAGAGGGAGAAAAAATATGGAAGATATGTTGAGCAGCTCTTTTCTCTTCCCTTCTCCCCTGATAACTGCCAGCTTTGTCCCACGCACAAACTCCTTCCAGCTCCAGCTAAGCATTCCTGTGTATTTTTTGGCAAATCATTTCTCTAATGAAGAAATGCAATTTAAAAGGAACTGCAGCTACTTTAGCACATGCCTGATTCTGCAAAGTGCCTAGGAGAGAATAAAGAGGTTAAAAAAGTGGAAACAGGCAAATAGTACAATATGCTTTCTTCTTAACCTTTTTTTAATACATCTTTTTCATATCATTAATCCATTTCTACTTTTCATCTAGTTGTGAGATAATAATTTTACAGTGGTGCAAGCCTATTTATGGCGATATCTCTTCTTCTGCCTACATGGCCCAAGCGTGGTTCTCTGCTTTCCCTGCTTCACTGGAATAATGGGGGCATCTGCCCTGCACAACCTCCTGGGTCCCCTTGTCCTTCAAGGATGCTCCACGGTAGCACAGCACTGCTGCCATACCCACCATTGTCCCAAACCAGGCTGTGCTCAGTGTGATGATGCTCTGCTCTTTATTCTTGACACAGTCTGAGGCTACCTGTGTAGGTTTTTTTTTACCCTTAGGCTTTGAGGGAAAAGCAATCATAGCTGTCCTGCTCACCATTCCCAGCCTGGATCTTCACAGCAGAGTATCCAAGGCATTAAAGGGAGAGGGGAATATATGCTGTGTCCATCAGCACAGAGCAAAACTGCCCATCCTTCAGGAAACAGCCAATGTCCAGCCCCATTGCATCAGAAACACAGAGGACTTGTAACCGCTTAGCTTGTATCCTTGTATGTGCAGTAACCTAACTGTGCTTCAGATTATCAGCCTAAAGAAGGCCATATGCAGCTTTGTGGTGATCCAAGAGAGATCCTCAGTACTCAGCTGCCCTGAGACAACCCACAAAAGCAACCTCCTCAAGGCACTAAGTGCATTGCTTGGCTTAGTAAATGGACTAAGAATGCCTTCAGTCCTTCAAGGATGTCTCCTCTGAGAATTCCAAACTGTAAGCAAATAGAATAGGGCTCAATGGGCATCAGCTATTTCTAGATACTCCTATTTCTTATTTCACTGCTACCCTCAGCAAGCTTTGTTCTTCTGTGGGGGCACCTTTCTCCAGTCTAGGTGTATTCTCCCCAACCTGGTGACCCAAAAGCCCAGGAAGAAGATGTCTCCTGTCCCACCCTCAAAAGACAAAAAGTGCTACAGTGGCTTCACTCACCTCTGGAGAGGGGAAGTGGGATCTGTTTCCATCTATCGGTACGACCAAGAGCATGTCCTGCAGGATTGTCGTCATGTGCTGAGCCATGACCTTCTGCTGGTCAAGGCTGCAGTGGTTCTCCAGGGAGATGATGACAGGGTATGGTGAAGTCTAGAAAATACAGTAACATCCATCATCAGTGAAACTGCAGATTAACCCCAGTCTCACTAGAAGTTATAAACTGCATATTTTCTCTGGAAACTGAAGTGTCTAGGGTTCTGCTAAAGTGAGCATTTATTTAAAATGTCATATTTGGCTGCATTGTAGTTATCTCTGTTCATGTCTCCAAAAATGACAATTTAATGGACAAGGCAGTGAGCTAGATCAAGCAACCTGTCACAGACTTCCCAGAGCACTTTGATGAGGCTCCCTGTGCCACCATTCTCCACCTGCATCATGTATGAGCATCTCCCTAATTCAGAGCAAGGCCCAGAAAAGGAGGCTTTGTAAATCACTCGGTTTGCTCCGATCTTTAAGTGACTGAGATTTCACACCACTGAATCCTTTCTTGCAAAAGCCTGATCTGGTTCTCTGTAACCCCCTAGACATTTGCTGAAGACATTGTCGTTGTAGCCCTGAAGCAAACTTGGTGTGGATCTCAACTTAATTGTACTGAAGGAACTGCCCAGCACTTAAAATGTAAGATACCAGACCTGCTCATTTCTTTTAATGCAAGATAGAAGTACTCATACCTGTTCCTCCAATGCTCCTAAACATCGGTACTCCTAAACTAGGGATGTACCCTGAGATATAAAAGCCATGCAAACAACAGGCCCATTTGCAGTTTCCACCACAGTTCTTGTGGTTCTTGAAGTTCTTGTTCAAGACTTTGGGCATTATTTTCATTACAGTGGGATCCAGGATGCAGCTGGTGCTGGTAGATTCACACTCAGTCCCAGACAGTGCACTGCCTAACGAGTAACTCACAGAAATGGATCTCTGAAGAAGGCAGAACACGGATGCCCAGCCAGAAGGACGTATCTTCTACTCACGAGAAATGCTAACGTGCAAACTTATTTTTTATGGTCTCTGCTTAAAGGGCAGAGACATGCTATGTGTCTCAAATAGTGCAATACGAGAAATGTTAGAGGGTCCAAATTCCCTCAGCCTTACTTTGAAAGCATAGTTCTTGATGGCCTTAATGACATCACTGAAGAGGATCTTGGAGGTGAGAGTGTAGCCATGATAAATGACAGGCTCCGAGTTAGGGCCGTCCCAGCAATCCAGTTCCACACAACGGCAACCTTTGGTGAGGGCTCTGGAAACAAAGAACCGAAGTGGTTGGGTTTTAAACCTTCCCCTCCATTTCAAAATGAGACTGTATCAGGCACAGATATTTCTTGGGAAGGTTTACAAGGAGCTTGGGATCCGGAGAGAAAAGAGGAGATTGGAAAACTGGAAAAGCAGATGGAGAAAGGGTAAAATCAGGAGAGCTCAGAGTCAGTGAAGAGAGCTCAAGGCCAAGCAAGGAAAGTACAAAAGGGGTCTGAAGACAGAAGTCATGAAAGTCCAAGGTAACTGACAGAAAAGGAGATAGTGAGTGCCAGATGAGAAAAGATACTCATATCTGTGCCCAGAGACTGTGCCCAAAGATCATAAAATGAAGAAATTACGCAGTGGAAGAAAGACAATAGGTCAAGGTCAGCCTTAGAAGTGAGCTCACAGAGCCTGGATGATGTGCCTTCTTCAACTAGATTTGATAAGACATGAGGGATGAATCCTCAGAGTCAGGGAGGAAGCTATGGGAACTCTGCAATGATGTTTGTTGAGAGCCAGTGTGCAGAACTGAAGCTATAGACTGAATTTCCCTTTGGAAAGTCCTGCCTGTGAATATCCACACTTGCATTTTCTTTTTTCTTTCAAATGTAGTTCCCCCTATATGGACCCCTCTCTAGAAGATCATTTTGTCTCTTTTGCAATAACTCCCTGTATATTTCAGATAACACAGGTCCTTTGATTCATTGCAGTAAGAATCGTGGGAATCTTTTTTTTTTTCCCCTAGTCAAAACATAATTCTGTAATTTTCAGATACTGCAAAATGAATTCATCCAGCTAATGAAAATGCAAGTCGTGTCAGATTTCACTCTCCACTAGTTTAAGCTTATGACTCTAGACAGTCATAATTTCCTGACAGATAAGTAATAAGCACAGGAAGAACTGCAGTTACCAGCCTGCTTATAAGAAATCTTTGTCTCAATAACAGTGCTGTGTATATGTCATGGAAGAAAGAAGATATGGTGTTTGTGTAAGTTAATGGAGGCCACTGCAGGCCCCTGGTCACAAGTTATCAGGCACAACATTCATCATTAAGGTCAGAAGCAGGTAACACCTAATATTCTGTCCAGAGATGCTATGGGAGCATCTAAACTGATGAAGAGAAAAACTGATCTAAACTGATGAAGAGAAATCATGCATGAGCTTCTTGATCATCCACACTTACTCATTAGCTCACATCTCAGCCCATTTTGTGGACTATTGCAGCAAGTTTGCCCCAAGATAAACCTCAGCACGGCTCTAGAAATAGTTCATGTCAGGGACTACTCACAAAAAGCAATATGGATTGTTAACATTATAGTAGTACCCATCATTTTTGGCTCCCTCCATCCCCCTGTGCAGTTCTCCAGCTCTATCCCAGAACTATTTGCATCCTATGAATCCTTAGTACACTTGATCTCATGCCATATTCTGTGGCACACGATAGACTCCCTGAGCTTCACACTCGGAAAACACCATTCTACAGGGCTGCAATCCAACCCCTGTATTATTGCAGATAATTTAAAATTTAAAAAAATACACACACATAAAGAATTTAGCAATTGTATGCCTTATACAATGCCTTATACAGAAGGACATCAGATGGGGCCAAGTGTAAATGCAAGATAAACTGCTATGCAATGCAAACATGGTGAACCTGGTCTAGAAACAGTTCAATTTAATGTGAACACAAACCAGTGCCCACTGCTACATCTCAGGGTTAGAGATCATTTCCTAGTCCTCTTGCACTTATATTATAAATATATCTTGTGTTCACACGTGCACACACACACATTACCTGATATAGGCTTCTGTGCTGCTTGGACCTGTCAGCTGGTCTTCCATGAGATAGGTGTTGTGTGAGGATGACACCAAGTAGTGACTGAGTGGTTGAGTCATGTCCTGGTAAACTTTACTGTGAGATGGGTTGAATATATTCCCATCTTCAGACAGCAGGTACATCAGGAAACCATCCTTGGTCATGGCATTACCTCTTTTGGCTGCCAGATAAATAGACACAAATCCTGCAATGAAAATCTGACACCTCCAGGCTGTGCCATCTTCACCTGGCTTATAACTCTACCTACAAATGCCTAGTGATCTTCAGAAGACCTCAGAGGCAAAATGTGCTCCCTAGACATTCAGCTATTACTAAAGATGTTGATGCTGTTCAGGTGAAGATGATAGCTTCATCAAACCTGAAAATGCTTTTAAAACTCTTTCACAAGCATAGCTCTTTATGGCACTTACTGTCCTTGAAAGGACCTAAAAACTGCCAAGAACAGTATTTACCCAAACCATCTCTAGAGATCCACAGTACAAATATCTTATTCTGCGCACTTCGATTTCCCTTCATGTCCAAATAGAGATATTGTCAAAAAATCAATGAATATATAGTTTGCAAAGAGTAAATGCAGAATTAACTCATTTTGAGGGGAAGTAAAATCTCTTCATCTCAAGAGATGGAACTAGACCTCACTCCAATCTCCAGATCTGACATCTGTAAAGCAGCATCGCCCCTCTTCTGAAGTTATATTAGGACAATGCAGAAAGTCTATGATTTGGGGATAATTTCTTGGACCTATCCTCCCACATGCTCCAGTCTGTCTATTCATTTAACTTCTGAGCACAAAAACAATTGTGTTTGTTCTTCTAAACAGAAGCCACTTTCTCAGCTAACTGCTCAGAGACCTCAACACCTGACAGTTTTCAAAAAGACTAGCTTCCATTTCTGCTTCTGGAGAACAGAAACATCACTACCCACTAAACCTTACAAAGACACTTGAAATCTTATCTTTCAAATAGGTCATCAGAGCCTTTCCCACTGGGATTTCAGTGCTCTATAACTATCTCCTTATCATCTGCTTTCCTACTGAACTTAAGCTGAAGAAGAACAGAGATATTCCCTTGGCTTTCCTGTACACTATTCTTCTAGACCTGTTAATATTTCTCTATTAACACTGGCTTTTCAGAAACAGCTGCTAGGAGAGAAAGACACACACACCTGCAGAAGAAAACAACAGGAAAGCAATTCAAGCTCACCAAGCAAATAAGTTTTTGACCCAAACCAGGCACAGTTCCAACTTACCTCTTTCATTTGGTTCATATCTCTGAATTAAGGCAGGGGCAGCAACAACAGCATCTTCTTCTTGCTGTGTCTCATAGAGGAACCTCACAAGATTCTGGCAGGACATGAACCCTTCAGCATCTGCATACTTTTGGAAGATGTTGTCTATTTCCTTCCTCTCTGTCAGTATCTTGTAAAATTCCTCTATCTCCTCATCCTCCAGAGCCTCTGTTTTGGACTTGTCACAATGCTGTAAACGTAGAGGGGAGAAGGAGTGAAAACCTTCTTTCCTTCTGGCATATGCCAGCCGTAATCTGCACCAGGGCTACACAACGCAGAACACAAAATAATTGGACAAAGTTACCGGCCAGTGAATGAGAAGCAATTGCTCGATGGTTCTTGATGAGAAACTCAAGTCACAGAACAGTTAAAATTATTATTATTCTAATTATTAACTCATCGGTAGGCCTATGAGCACCAGGCATAGCCCTGAGCTCCACTAAAGTAGGTGCTGTGCAGACACAAAGTTAAAAGGAAAGCTCCTGACAACTTAAGAATGAAGCAGGTATCAAAAGGAATTTGTAGACCAAGAGATGGAGAAATACAGGGAAACACTTAACTCAGTGCATCTTAAATGATTGGTAGAGTCCCTGGACTAAAATACTGTAAGTAAACTTAAAAGAGCCTTTGTCTTTGATCTATCGTGACAGACAGAGCCATAGCCCTGGGGTTTGTGTACAAAATGTGTCTCGGTTTAATCAGTCTTCATGGTAATCTCAGTCTAACTCTGCTGATGACCTCACTGATGGCCACAGTGATCTTGGCAGATCCTCAAGCAAGATGATAATGAGAAAATATTCCTCCCTCTGGGATGCCACCACTGGAGTGCTTGAGTGGCAATTTACAGCCCACTTACTTATAAAACCAAATAAAATGATCACAATGTATTGTGTGCTGCTGGCTGAACTAACGGCAAAGATTTTCCCTTATTATTAGGATTTCAAGATCTGCTGGGTGAAAGCTGCGGGTGCCTCTCTGTGATGAGATAACCTGTGAAATGCTTAGTGCTATGGAGAACTTCAAAATAGATTTGAGCACTCCTGGAACCATCCTTTCATTGCTGCCTTCCATGACCGTACCATCCTATGCTGTGATTTAGCAGGTCTCAGCCTAAGCAGAACATGATATTTAGTGACTGAAGAAAGAATGGAAAGAGGGAAACAGGATGGCAGAAACTGCAGAAATCTGGTGAGTGACAGGTTTTCTTTTCTTTAAGACAGGAATATAACATGTGAATACATAACATGATGAGCACCTAGAAAAGTTATGTGTAGAGCCAGTTTGCATTGCATATGTCTAACTCAGATGTGCCTGAAACCTATATGATGAAAAGAAAGAATAATGTGAGACATGCTCTATAGTTCTCTTTCAAATGCTTATTCATCCTTCCTTCCTGTGACTAAATGAAGAAAAAACTCACTAATACAGAAATGATCACCTTCATAAGACACTGTAATGTCTCTCATCCCATCTAAGTTTAGGTAGCATGTAAGCTAGGAAGATAGTTATTTATTTTAGGCTAACTCAGTGGTCAAGTAGAGCAAGACAGACACTTGCTGGAGGCAAGTCAGACAACAAGAGATCTGAATTAATCTCCAGAAAAGCCTCGATATCCACTGGATGTATAGGAAGATTAGAATAATTACCTGTCTAATAAAGGTACTTCAGTTAGTTGCCTGCAGTTAGATGGGATGAGTCAGAGCTTAGTAACTGGTCTTCTAGAGGAAAAACAAACAAACAAAAATCCAAAAAGTAGAAATCAGCAAGTTTCTACTCCTAGAGCTTCCTTCTAACTATTGAAACAGCAAAAGAGCATTGCTGAATGAAGGGGAGACTGTGTCTCCAAGACAAAGGTATATTTTTATATGCTTAATATTTAAAGATGTAGGATTCATCTGTATGAGCTGTCTCAATAGAATGAAGCAAATTGTGCCCCAGTCTCACTGAATTTTATTGTCTTGACCTACATAGAATGAAAAGGAAGAGCAAAGTGACTTCTTCCTGTGTAGACATCTGCACTGGAGACATCTAACTCAGGCAGAAGAATCCCGCTGTTCTTTCAGGGTCTCCTGAGTGGGAAAGAAAGGACAAGATATACCAGCAGTTCATCAGGAGGATTTTGCAAGGAAAAAATCTTGAAGATCTGCTGGCCACCTTCCCCCTTAATCCTTGCAGAATTACCAGAGAGGGACCTCCATAGAACGAGGATTAGAGAACAAGTTCCTCCCTTTAGGGAAGTTCTTAGTGAAACCTTCCCAATCTCCCCTGTTACCTGCTGGTAGGAAGGAGCAGAACTACTGCTCAATGCCCACAACCACCCACCTGCTTACCACTGATAAGAAAAAGCATCTCAGATACTGCCCACCCATGAATTCAAATCTTCCTTCAGACATGGTGAAAATTTGGAATTTATCCAGATAATTTATCTCTCGTAGGCAGGAAGGCTCATCTAGAGAGACACTAAAAACTTAACAACTTAGAAGTTGTCATCATTTCCATTATCTTCCCGTAGCCTTAGCCAGCAAGCCAAATCTTGTGAAATTAGATGTTCCTGAGCAGATTAAATATGCCTCAGGCTGTTAGAGCAACTAGACTGATCCAGGCCTGTGTGCAGTGTCACATATCTATCTTGATTCTGTTTTGCCTTTTTTTTTTTTCCTCATTTGCACTTTTTCTTTTCTTCTGTTTTCAACAGTCACTTGGCACTCTCCTCTGGGCAGGTAAAGATTTGGGCTCACAATTGTAACTCCTCTGATGTCAAGTGTCTTAGGCATTGTCATGTGCTCAAGACATGCAAAACTACCGCAACACCTTTTACTCAATATCCATTTGCATTTCACTATTTTAGATTTCTCACATTCTTCATGTATGTATCTCATCTTTCTCCCAAACCTGGTTAAAAGGAACTTCAATGGTAAAGGAGAAGACCTACATCAAAGATATCTGCATCAGACAAGAAAGATACCTTCATCAGAAGTGCTGTGCTAGATTAACTTAATTGTCAGTGGGAACCTACTGAACACCAAAAAGTCTGAATATTTCCTTGGTGCAAAAAAAAAAGATGCTACAAGTTCATATCAGCTTAGATCTCCAACTAAAGCTGAACACTTTGGGAAATCATGACCTCAGTCAACAGCAACTTTATCTGCTTGTTCTCTTTACCTGGAAAATCTTTTTGGCATGATAGTCATTGACTTCGATGTTTACTTCTTTCAGGAAGTTCTTGAGTTCCTTCAAACTCATCTTGTTGTCTTTGTTTTTATCAGCTTTCCGCAGGCAACTATGAATCCAGCTGCAAGATGATGTAAGGAAATCTCTCCAAGCCAGTACCTAGTCTAAATACCTCCTTCTTAAATCGTGGGGGGCAAAAATCCTTCTGAAGTCTCTGAACCATATCTCCAGCTGCTGCAAATCAGCATGGTACCACTGAACATCTTGCATCATCTTGCCTTCTGCTTTGAAAGGGCAAAAGGGTGCTTTGGCAGCAGCAACACACACTGTAATATGAGTGATCCTGACCCAGGAGAAGCTTTTCACCAGCTGGTCAAAGCTTGATCAACTGTATTTACCCTGCAGGAGTTCCTGGCCACAGGCAAATCATAAAGTTGTCTTATTTCTTTTATAACAGAAAGGGCATTTTGTTCCAAACTGTTAAAAGGGGATAGATGAAGGATGAAAAGAGCTCCCAGGAAGGGAAGACAAAGTGTAATGGATTTGACCAATATTCAATATATCAAGTTGAATACCTGACAGAGAGTCTCCAAAAGAAGAATTCACATTCACCTTCAATTTCAGTATTTATTTAACAGTTTCTACCTCTATTTCTTAGGCTTCGGGGGTTTTTTAAGCATAATCAAACCAAATTTTGTGGATCTTGGATTACCCTTTTAAAATACATAAGATCTATTATTGTATTGTACTGTGACAGTAATTCCTAAGAGTCTAGTTTATTGTACACTCAAGTTATTATGGATTTGGATCAGTTGCTATAAAAACGAGCTTTTCTGTGTGTGATGCCTATTAAATTGAACTGTGTTTCCCATGTTCTTTTAGTTTCTTGGGAAAATAATGTAAGCCAGTTGAGATACACTGGAGTTTTAACAAGAATAAAATATTCTTTTTGCAGCAAGGAACGGCATTTCTTTAATTTGGTTTAACTGTGGAACGAGTAAGAGTTTCCAAAGAAAGACTCCTATTTTTAATATACAAAAAGTCATCCAAGTAAAAATTAGATCTGCATATATGTAAGCTTCTATTTCTCACATAGGAGCCATTACTTCAAGCTCATTCCAAAAAGTTGGTTTAAAAAGTGTCCAATCTCAATATGACCAAAATAAAACTCAGGATTTTCAAAGACCACCTGATGTCTATAGTACCCTAACCAGGCACTTAAAAAATTCCCCCAGAAGAAACATTAACCGACAACCTCAGTGGCTGCAGACGTAACCTTCAAAACCAAGTATTCAGCACAGACACTGCACTCCTGGTATTTTTATGAACTTCTCAGAAATATGTGCAAACTCTTTGTAAATGAGACTATCAACTTTCTACTAGAAACCAAACAGACAATTAAAAATGGCTGGTGGAAATTTCATGAACTTACTCACAACAGAAAAGCACAAAAAACTGGGATGAATGACTCCCAAACAGAAGTAAAATTCATACATAAAAGCCAGAATTGACACAGACAGTTTCACACACCTGAGACGAATAATTCCCTTTAGATTCTAGTCTCTAATCATCCCGGTCACACATACCTCCAATATTTATTAAATAACCTATGCCAGCTTGCTGCAGGATTGAATTTGATGCTTAGTAAGATACTACTGTATGTAGAAGGACCTCAGAAATACTTCTTAAATATCAGGAGGTTTTATCCTTTATAGGAATGAATGACTGGGAAGAACACATAAGCCGCTAAGCCCAGTTCCTTGCAACCACAGGCAATTTCATCATATCACAAGCTGAACAATAAGACAATTTCTATAATTTCCAAATAAAATACTTAAAAAATCTTGCTCATTTTTTACATGTTCTAGTCAAGGTTTCAGTGCCTGGAAAAGATACAAAAAAAGGCAATTCTCTTTTGAAGGGGTACAGGGTAGGGACTCAGCACTTCTTCCTTTACTCTTCTCTTTCTATGCTCACAGATGTGGAGAACACTTCTGAGGTTTAAAGAAGTCCTGAGTAAACACATGCTGCCAAGCAAACACCATGAAGAAGAGACTAAATTTGAAGTTCCAGGCTTTAATTAAATATCATCAAATTCCAAATGAGAAATCGTGTTGTTCTGTAATTCCAGGTTACGTTAAACTGCCTGAGACAAGCCCAGATTGAAAACCAGCACTGCACTGTAATTACTCTTCCAGAAATACAGCTTGTCTGCCGCCTCAGTTAGCTTTGATTCTGCTTTCCAAAGAGAGAGGTTCATTTCCACAATGGAATTTTACAGCCTTCTTCCCTTGAAAATGTCATCATTATTCCATTCCCACTTAGCAATCCCTTCTTAGGAGGAAGTTTTTTAGCAATATACTCAATTTAACATGCCCCAAGGACCACTTTTGGTAGCCCCACACACTGTAGGGTGGGGGCACACTTCACATTCAGAAGGAAAACTGCCAGGATGTTACTTTTGATGCTGGCAGCACCAAAGATTTAAGATTTCTAGAATCCATTCCCTGCCACCCTGGACACTCCATTGCTGACACAGCTGAGGAATGGAATATGAAAGAGCATCTAAAAAGAAACTCATAATCCAGAGGAGAAACACAATCAGGCACATCAGAACTGATAGAGCCTTGCTCCTTTGAGCAGATGGCACCAAAGCTGTGCTGGGGACCTTATTACACACCAGAGAACCCACAGAAAAATGAGGTCTGATGAAAGTCCAGCCTTTATGGGCCATTTCTTTCGTGTCTGCTATACATTACCTAGCTGAGACCCACATGGAGAGAAGTCCCAGATGAAGACAAGACTTCCCAGTGCTTGCCAAAGGCTCAGACTCAACTTGTATGACCTTCTCTTGGCCAAGGAATTTGCAGCATCTTCGTACAGATACTTTGATGCCTACCAAGGCATGGAGCTCACACAGCTTTCCCTCTGTGACTACTCTGTGGTTTCCTTTCTGATAGCTGGGCACCTATATTTTTGGAACTTACAAGATTCTCACATTTTATGACCACTGCTGTTCTGTCAAATGAGGGGAAATCAGCCAGCGGGTTCAGATGTTGCTGACAAGACCTCAGACACAGAGAAGATACAGAAAATTAATAAAAAAATGCACCCATGGATTTATGTCTGCACCGATCTCTTTATATATAGAGATGAGACCTGTGATCGTAAAGGACCTTACTGAGTGAAACCCCAGGGAAAATCTCTTAGCAGAGCCTGGATTTCACCCAACTAACTCTCCTTTTCCGCTTCACTCCTTTTCCATTCTAATAACTGCATTATTTCTAGAGCATTTGCAAACTCTTTTCAGGACAGCATTTCCTCCAAGCTGAGGCAAATAAGAAACAATTTCACTGAAGTCAGTAGAGCTACCCCAGGGTAAAGTTGGCAAACAGAAGAGAGGAATCGGTTCCCTTGCCTTATATTACTGAGAAACATGATAAACAGCACCAGCTTTTCATGCCTTGCCAAGAACTGACTGTCCTGGAGTTTACCGCAATGCAAGTGAGATGAATTCCTAAAGAATATGAAAAATAATGATTGTTTTATCTAAAGCTCCCTGAAAGGGGCAATTCTTTTTTATGCATAGCCTGAATCTACACTTGCGTGCATCAAATAAGGAAAAAAGCATTGGAAACCAGGAAAGTTTCCCAGGTGTAAAATCAGTGTAGGATAAAACTCAGTGCCCAAGATCAAAAGAGAAAAAGAGTTTTAGTCTACTGTGTCCACCCGCAGAGAAAGACAAGTGCATCTTTGTGTGTGATTAACCACTTTATAAGGCAAAGGATACTGTTGGAGCTTCTGTTTCTGGTTCATAGAGTTGCTGTGGGCTATGATTTTCCCAAGGCCGGTGATCCAGTGGTTGGCATCATCCTCCGAATTTGCAATGAGATCCAGGTTTTTCCGTTGGTCTTTGAAAACGATGGAAAAGCAGAGATGCTCTGGGATATTCTTGGCGTATTTTTCCATACCTTCTGTTTTATGGCCTGACCTCACATCCCGAATATCTTCAATGGAGACTGTGGAAAGAAAACAGAACGTCCTGTTAGCAGGGTTTCAGGCAGCCTTATCTCCACTTGGTGATGGATGTTAGAAAATTACACTTTTTTTTCCCTGCAACTTCTGTCTCCCATTGCTAGAGGATTTCCTTCCTTTCCCTCATTCTCTAAATTTGAGTACCAAGGAAAGCTGAAATCAAAAGCAGCAGAAAGAGAAAGAAGAAAACCATACACACACACACAAAAGTCTTTCCTTTGTTCTTTTCCCATATCTTTTACTTAACAAACAAGCAAAATCTGCATCGGATGCAATACTGTGTTATCACATTTATGAGACATAAATGATCCCAAAGACCTTGGCTCTAGTCTGTAAAGCATTGCTGATTTTATCCTAGCCTATATCTGCAAGTTGGGAAAGCAAAGCAGTGCCTTTCCTGATGAGCATCAGGACGTGCAACCCACTACCTCTACCCACTCTACTCCATGAATCTGTACCTGGATCTGTCAGTGAGACCACAATTTTTTTAACTGTCCAGCCTGATATGTTGATGCTCAGAGGCAGGAGCTACCAATTTCAGAACTCTGTATCAATAGTACAGCCCAAGAGAGATACCAGCCACTGGTCACTTTTTTTTCATCTTTCTTATCCACCTATAAACACAGAGGGAAGTTTGATGAAAAGTAGTATGCAAGTGCAAAATATCCACCCTGTTTAGCTGAAGAGGAGAAACTTGTCTTTAAGTATCCATACCTCCTGCTGCTTCATTTAAATTGATGCAGTTTCATTCTTAAAGTGTTTAATTATTTCAAAGTCAACACTGCAGAAAGTTGTAAGTCAGCATCTATGCACACACTTATAGCAGGGCTTCCCTGGGATCATCTAAAATTCATGGATTCATATACAAGTTTCTAAATCTCCTTTTTTTTTTCCACCTTGGCATTCACAATATGCTTAACTGCATAAAATATGTTCAGTTAAAAACAAAAACAAAACAAAACTTCTGAAAAATCTTTGACTATCCAAAACCTACACTTGACATTTGCTTCAAATTTCCACCACCTGCTAGGGTGGCCAAACTTCTTTTGCTAGTGTGGTCTGTGTACAAGAACTTGCCAGAGAACAGGGAAGTGCTTCCTGGAATTGGCAAAAACCCTCTCTGATGATGAGCAATTATCTTTGTGTTTATCACTCAGTAAAGGCCAAAAGTCAACAGTGGATGTGTTTGAGGGGGGAGAAGGAGAGAGTTGGGTTGGGCAGGGCTGTTGTGGAATTATGTTACCTGATCAACTTACTGCCGAGTGAAAACTTATGGCTTCAAGTGCTAAAACTCTCTTTGAATAAAAGGGTTGCAATTCCCCCACAGTTAGGCTGCTGATTATAAGTGTTCCCACTAACTAGCATAGAGAAAAAATAAAAGAGATTGTGCTTTAAGTTACAAGACTACATATCTTGCACCTTTATTCTAAAGGATGTTGTCATGTTTGGAGGTATTAATCTCAATTAAAATGTCCCAAGTTTAGTTAGGCTCCTTTTATTAACATTAAAAATAAATAAATAAATAAATAAATAAATAAATAAATAAATAAATAAGCCTTTTGGAACATGACCTTACAGTCCTGTATAAATACAATCTTTAGAGTGTGAAATACAATCTTTAAGAGTGAGATAAATCACACTCTTAACTACAAGTTAACACCATCTACCCAGGTGAAGAGCACAGATGTAGACACATATATTGCAGATAGTCCATAATCACCTATCACCTGCCAACTGCTCATCACTGCTTTGCTCTTAGCAGCTATTTTCCCCTCAGACCGGTCAGCTAATCTGCTTGTGCAATCAGTCCCTAAACTTGGGGTTGGCAAGCACCTGGTGTTTCCTAGGCTAGAAAATCTGATGTTAAATGTTGGAAATTTAGAATGGATTATTTGGAAACCATTATCTGGCAAAATGAATCTGCTGGAAAAAAAGGACAGAGCTGTGTGGGAGGAAAGAAGATTGCAAATCTGTGTCTGGAAAGGCTGCCTTCTCCTTTATGAGAGGCATCCTGCTAAGAGGAAGATGATGGGGAGCACAGGGCTGCTCCATGTAGAAAAAAAGTACAAGGAAAGCTGGGGAACAGGATCAGTGTCTCACATAATCATGCAAGAGATTAGGAGAGGCACTATCTATGCAGGAACTGTTGAAAAAAAAATAAAGGAGGGAACTTTTTAAAGCTTTCCATAGCCTGGCCCTGTGTACAGTTTTCATGTATCAATAAAGAGCTGAAGCCAAAGGAGCTGGCCCAAGCCATCTGTAAATGTTATCTCTTCCCTGCTCTCGGAAAATGTGAACCCAGCATGAATACATTATCAGTTGCTCCAGAACAGTGGGTGTACTGTGCTAGCAGTCCTGCAACACCATCCCAGACTAACTGTGTGCTCAGCTGAGCTAACTGCAAGGAGAAATCGCAAACAACTGAGGGACAGGGATGCATTTTAAAGCAGAGGATCACTTAGAGCAAACTCCCATCTAACACCTATCACTGCAGCCTCCTTGCCCTTCTCCATCTCGTCACAGCAGAGAAAGAAAAAGCAAAGCCAGCAGACAAGCTGGAAAGTTTCATCTGCTTCCCTTGAGTATTTATGTCTGCAGAAGAGGTGGTTTGTGTAAAGCCCAAAACATGAAGCAAACACAAGAGAGGTTGTTTAATTCCAGGCCTTTAATCACCAGGTCAAACAGGTCGCATCCAAGCCAGCCTCCCCACTGCCGTGGATGCAGCCCAGCTAGTGCTACAGTCAACATCAGGGTTTCTCCCTCTGCATGTGGGCCCACAGGGACATACAGCAGCACTCCCTGAGGTCAGTGAGATTACACTCGTCTGAGCCAGTCAGAGGGAGACAAGAGATCCTTTTTATTAATTCCTCCTTTCAGTTTACGTTACTTAATGTTGCCCTGCTGCACCTCCCTCATCAATCCTCTATGCAGCATCCTCCTCTCATTTCAATGCAGCATTAAGAGCCAGGCCATGAGTCAGGCCTGCATAATGTAGGAGACCACCTTGACAGCCATGACATTTTCCAGCAACCATCATGCGTCTTTTGGCTGTTTGTTTGGACTATATTTCTGCTCCTGTATCTTTCCAGGTATTCAGAGTTATACTTGCAAGCTTGTAATCTGCAGAAGGTCAAGGAGCATCCCTCTTTCAAAGCAAAACAAAATCCATAATTCACACTGACATGAATCTAACCAGACTGAAGAGTCTGCAAGTGTCCAAGTCGAAAACTGTGACTCCAAAAAAACTTGAGCAGGGTCAGAGCCTCACCTGTATCTCTCCCTGACCTGAAAGCTCCTCCCTGAAAGTCACCAGAAGTTATGTCCTCTTCTAGAACAAGCCCTGCATGAAAGGTTCCCTCCTTGCTCCCGCAAGTTCACTGGCTGGTCCAACCATCTTCCACATGGCGCAGCCAAACTCAAACTTGTGCACCAATTTCAACCATACATGTCTATGGGATGGCCATTAGTGCAGGAATCAGTCCTTGTGGAAGCAGATGGAAGTACAAAAGTTCAATCCAAGATAAGCCCAAAACCTGTAACCACAGAGCTGTTAGGCTTCAGGGTTGTGTCCGAGCTAAATGTACTCACAAAGAGCCATTAGGCAGCCAAAAATACATGGGCCGAAGAGCCAGAAGGACCTTGTCAAGATGTCAAATGGTCACAGCATTTGCTTGAAAGGTGAGCCCTAGCCATTGGCTGGCCTGCTCCAGGTTCAACACCCTTCCCTTCCCTAGTCATTGCTCCTACGGTGAAGTGTCTGGACTGTGCTTGGAGTATGCTAATCCCAAAGAATATAGAAAAAAAAAAAAAAAAAAAGGAGGAATGGAGAGAGAAAGAATCCTCTCTTAGACTTCCTTTTGTTGGACAGACAGCCCTTCAAGAGGAAATGCTTTATCAAGAGCTTTATAGAGAAGATGGAGAATGAGGAACTGAACCTGTGTGCCCAGCAAACCACTGAACCTACAAAAGTGCTTCTCCATCCTTGTGGTGAGCAGCCATTGCTGATAAGGAGGAAGAGAAGCATCAATGCATAGGCACTTGGAGGCCTAACTGGTCTTGAATTATTCATAAGGGGAAGGGGCAGGTTTTCACTGCGCAAGAAATAACCCTCAGATCCCTCCCTTTCATCATCCTACTTCCCCTCCAAAAGTGAGTGATCTCTGCAGTGTGGCACTGAGTCACGTTGCTGCGTCAGAGGCTTCCAGCCACTCGGGCAGTTTCAGTAAGTCATTTCTGTTTTCTGGCAAGAAATATAGATGAGAAATGTACCCAGACGGCAAGAGCTTGCACCATACTGGCCCACAATACTGCATGTCTGCAGAGAGATCAAACCCTCCCCAGCCACAGCTCCAACAGAGTTAGACACGAGTTGTTTTAGCTCCTTTCATTTGCACCTGATGCTTACGACTGAGTGTAGTTGGGATCAGGACATTTACAGTCAGCAGGCATTGAAGTACCATAAACTCCCTGCACTGGGAACACCAAAGGTTATCTAACACCTGAGGGATGATTTCCCATGATGATCCACATTTTTTTTTTAGTGTAAACCCCACTGTGCTGCCTTTGTCTTAACCCTAGACACTTTGCTCCCTCTTCTCCCTGCCTGCTGTAGGGCCCACAGTCTCATTTGCTGGTTCCTCATCCATGCACTGTTCCCCTGCCCTCTTCTGACTTGTCCAGCATAGTCTTTTAATTTTGACACCTGCTGCATGTCACCAAATTAGTGTCATTCATCTAATGGGCATGCAATTTTACAGGTCTGCTAGGGAAAAACTTTTCATATAAGGTCTTTATCCAGTTGTATTCTGCCAGAGTGGAGTGATGATGTAAACACAGTGATCTCTATTTACATTCCTTCCAGACAGCACAGTAAGGGCCACATAAACTATTTCTGCACCTGGTTTGTACTTCTCCGGCCATTCTCTGCCCCTAAATTTGGATCTAAGGCTCTCAGCCTGTCCATCTTTGCATTTAAGCATCTTCT